TGGTAGTAGTAGTAGTAGTAGTAGCAGTAGTAGTAGTAGTAGTAGTGGTAGTAGTAGTAGTAGTACTAGTCGTCGTCGTCGTCGTCGTCAGTATATGGAAAATTCTTATTGAATATGGGAAATTCCCGTTGGAATTTCTATTGGAGTCCCAATTTTCAAGAAATCTGGAGAATTCCATTTGGAATCCCAATCAAAGAAATGCCTCTTTGGATCCCGAATATAAGAGGTCCCGACTGAAATCCGAATATAGGGAACTCCGTGTTGGAATCCGAATATAAGGAATTCGTATTGCAATCCGAATATAAGGAATTTCCATTGGAAGTTTGAATCCGAATATAAGGAACTCCTATGTTTAATCCTCTTATGTGGAATTCCGATTGGAACCCGAATCTTGGGAATTCCTATTATTTCGTGGGCCTATACGCGAGCCAGGACGCTTCCCCAGTGCTTGAGGGTGAGTGGCGGGTGGGTCTCGCGATGGGTCGCACGGCGGGTCGCAGGTGGGTCGCCGCGTGGGGGGAGGGGGGGGGCGGGCGTGGGCGCACATAAAGAATATTCCTTGGAACCCAAACATGTGGAATCTTTGTTGGAATCCGAAATCAAGGATCCCGATTGCAATCCAAATATACGGAAATTTCCATTGGAATCCAGATATCGGATATCTGGATTGTAATCCACATACACGAATTTCCTACTGGAATCCGAATGTGGGGAATTCCTATAGGAATCCGATAGAGGGAGACATATCAGTAGAAGTAGTAGTGGTAGTAGTAGTTTTAGCAGTAGCAGTAGTAGTCGCAGTAGACGCAGTAATCGTAGGTAGTAGTAGTAGTAGTAGTAGTAGTAGCAGCAGCAGTCGTAGTAGTAGTAGTAGTAGTAGTAGTAGTAGTAGTAGTCATAGCAGTAGTAGTCGGAGTAGTAGCAGTAGTAGTAGTAGTAATAGTAGCCGTAGTCGTAGTCGTAGTAGTAGTAGTAGTAGTAGTAGTAGCATTAGTAGTAGTAGTGGTAGTAGTAGTAGTAGTAGTAGTAGTAGTAGCAATAGTAGTAGTTAGTAATAGTAGTAGTAGTCGTCGTCGTCGTAGTAGTAGTGTAGTAGTAGTAGTAGTAGTAGTAGTAGTAGTAGTAGTAGTAGTAGTAAGAGTAGTAAGAGTAGTAGTTGGTGTTGCTGTTGCTGTCGTAGCAGTAGTCGCAGTAGTAGTAGCAGTAGTAGTAGTAGTAGTAGTAGTAGTTCTAGTCACACAAAGATTTCGACACAGTGGCAGTGTTAGTAATAGCCGCACGAGTGTACTAGTAGTAGCTCAGGAACAGTAGTCGTAATAGTAGTAGTAGTAGGTGTGGTAGTAGCATCAGTAGAACAAGTGGCAGCAGTCGCAGTAGTAATAATAGTAGTGGTAGTAGTAGCAGTAGCAATAGACTTAGCAGTAATGGTAGTAGTAGTAATAGTCGCAGTAGTAATGGCAGTTGTAATAGTACTAGCAGTAGTAGTAGTAGTAGTAGTAGTGGTAGTAGTAGTAGTAGTAGTAGAATTAGTAATCGTAATGGTGGTATCAGAAGTAGTAGTAGTAGTAGTAGTAGTAGTAGTAGTAGTGGTAGTAGTAGTAGTAGTAGTAATAGTAACAGTCGTCGTCGTAGTTCTGGTGGGTGTAATGTTGTGCTGCGTCGTCGTAGTAATAGAAGTAGTAGTAGTAGTAGTAGTAGTAGTAGTAGTAGTAGTAGTAGTACTACTACTACTAGTAGTAGTAGTAAGAATTGCAGTAGCAGTAGCAGTAGTGGTAGTAGTAGTAGTAGTAGTAGCAGTAGTGCTAGCAGTAGTAGTGGCAGTCGTAGTAGTAGTCGCAGTAGTAGTAGCTGTGGTATTGGTCGGGGAAATAGTGGTAGTAGTCGTAGTATGAGTAACAGTAGTAGTAGTAGTAGTAGTAGTAGTAGTAGTAGTAGTAGTAGTAGTAGTAGTAATAGTAATACTGATAGTATTATTAGTAGTAGTAGTAGTAGTAGTAGTAGTAGTAGCATTGATTTTACTAGTGGTAGTAGTGGTAGCAGTGGTAGGAGTGGTAGTAGTGGTGGTACTTGTAGTAGTCGCGGTAGAAGTAGCATTTGTTGGCGTAGCGCTGGTAGTCGTAGTCGCGGCAGTAGTAATAGAGACACAACAGTAATCGTAGTAGTTGTTGTTGTTGTTGAATGACAAACACTCGCATTCCAATTCGTAGTATTCGTAGCCGTACTTGTGGAGGGCGTAGTAGTACAAGTAGTAGTTGTTGTACTAGTAGTAGTAGTCGTAGTAGTAGTAGTAGTAGTAGTAGTAGTAGTAGTCGTAGTGAAACTATGAATAGTAGGCGCAGTAGGAGTAGGAGTCGTAGTAGTAGTGATAGTGGTAGTAGTAGCAGTAGTAACATTAGTAGTAGTACCTGTAGTAGTAGTAGTAGCAGTAGTAGTAGTAGTAGCAGTAGTCGTAGTCGTAGTCGTAATAGTAGTAGTAGTTGTACTAGTAGCCGCACTAGTAGTAGTAGTAGTAGTAGTAGTAGTAGTAGTAGTAGTAGTAGTAGTCGTAGTAGTCGATGTAGCCGTAATAGTAGTGATAGTTGCACAGGTAGTAGTAGTAGTAGTAGTAGTAGCAGTAGTACTAATAGTAGTAATAGTAGTAGTAGTAGTAGTAGTAGTCGTAGTAGTAGTAGTAGTAGTAGTACGAGTAGTAGTAATATTAGTAGTAGTAGTGGTAGTAGTAGAAGTAGTAGTAGTAGTAGTAGAAGTAGTCGTAGTAGTAGTAGTAGTAGTAGCACCAGTAGTCGTAGTAGTAGTAGTAGTCGTAGTAGTAGTAGTAGTAATAGTAATAGTAGTCGTAGTAGTAGTAGTAGTAGTAGTAGTAGTGGTACTGGAAGTAGTAGTAGTAGTAGTAGTAGTAGTAGTAGTAGAAGTCGTGGTGGTGGTAGTAGTAGTAGTAGGCTCTCAAAACCTCTCAGAGGCTCTCGGAACTTCTCAGAGGCTCTCAGAAACTCTCAGAGGCTCTCAGAACCTTTCAGAGGCTTTCAGAACCTATCAGAGGCTCCCAGAACCTTTCAGAGGCTCCCAGAACGTCTCTGATACTTTCGGAGGCTCTCAGAAACTCAGAGGCTCTCAGAACGTTTCAGAAGCTCTCAGGGGCTCCGAAGTGGTTGTGGTCTCGCAAGTCCCACGTGTCCTGGGCGGTTGTGATCTTCCCGGTTGTGACCTCACCCGACCGGTTGTGATTTGGACCTCTCTCGGGTTCACCGGAGTGACGTTTGGCGTGCCTGCGGTATCTGTTGTTCGGCCGATATGTACGCATGGACAAATACAGATCATTTGGCCCTTGCGGCAAGAAACTTGCGGAACTCGACGGCAGCGTCGACGTCTCGGACGCGGCGGACTTGGTCATCATCGAGCCGCAGGCCTCGAGACCTCTCGATTTTTGCAAGCACAAGGTCCCGCGCACCGACTGGGTCATCTCTCGCGCCGAGGTTTTCACGTCCATGGCCTGCCAGGGCAGGACTACGCACCACTGAGTCATTGCCGATGCTGGGCGCAAGGACGCGGAGAATCTTGACGGCCTTTGTCTGCATCCCTCTGTGATGCTACCCAGGGCCACGAAAGTCGAGAACTTCTTGATGATGTGCGGCCTCGGCCCCGATTTTTTCCTGCGGGCCGCTCGCGGACCTTGCGGCCCGCCCGCGGGCGTTTTTTTTTTTTTTTTTTTTTTTTTTTTGAAAATAAAAAAAAACAACGCAGGAAGGAGGCGGGGAGGCTGGCGGGCGAGCTAGGCGTCGGTCGTTTGTTGCACTACTGCTGAACAGGTGATCCTTTGGGGCGCCGACGTGCCGCGGGCCGCGCTGCTGCTCAGCGCGCCAGTGGACACGTCGCCACCCTCCTTTCTCACCACGCTACCTTCGTTGTCTTTTTCCCCCCCTTCCACCGCCCCCTGCCGCTGCCACGTCGACGTGTAGCCCGACCCCCTTGTCAGTTTGTTGTTGTTTTCTTCTGTCCTTCACTTCCGTTGCCCACCTGTTCGGGCCTGGGGCCTGGCGCCTCGTCTTGTTGTTTTTGTCCTGTGGGTCGCGCGACGCGCGCTTATTTTATGATTTTTGCGTTACAAGTGTCCCGCGATGCCATCCGCCGCGCTAGTCTGGGCCAGCTTCTTTTGCCGCGGCGTGCGTTTGGGCCGGGTGCGTCGCAGGGTAATGTGTGGGGAAGTGGCGCATGATTGCGAAATTGATGGGTTTTGTTTGTGTTTGATATTTGTGTTCCCGTTTTTGGTTGTGTATGTATGAACATTCTGTATGCACGTATGTGTATATATGTCCATAGAAATCGGTTTTGTAATTTCTCTCTTTCTCTGTCCCTCTCATTTCTCTCTTTCTCTGTCCCTCTCCCACTTACTTCTCTTGTTCATGATACGCGCCCAGTTCACCGCTCCTCTTCTCCTCTTCCGTGATGATCCATCGTCCTTGCTGCCTCGCCTTCCCTCCTCACCCCGAAGAGACGGCACAGGCGACCGCATTGACGGGAAAAGGTGAGTACGTCGCGGAGGCGAAGGAAGGGGGATGACATTGGAGCAGGAAGCGAAGGACGAGGCAGGATAGGAATTAATATTTTTTCGTGTCGTGGACGGATCACACATTCATGGGCGACCGGTCAAGCGGGACAGCGGTGGGCAAGCGGTCCGCAGGGACATGGCCGCTCCTCCTCCTCCTCCTTTTCCTCCTCCTCCTCCTTTGAGGACGAGGCCCCTCCCGTCCCTCTCCGTGTTGACCCTAGCAACGATTCTGATTAAGGATGGACAGCCTTAGGCACATGCGCTCCTGCTTGCTGCTCTCTCTCTCTCTCGCCCTGCCCGCTCGCGTTGCACGATGTTGCTTGCCAAAACGTTCTGAAACGTCCTCCTCCTCCTTTTCCTCCTCCTCCTCATCCTCCTCATCCTCCTCATCCATCCATCCGGAAGTCTTCGCCGCTCGTGGCCGCCGTTGTTTCCCTTTCGGCGCGACCCGGAGGTGATGTTCGCCCTGGAGGGCGCCCTGGGTCTCGAGTTCCAGCGCCTGCAGCCCCCGTACGTCGTGCAGCAGGCGCCGGGCCTCGCCTTCCGCGTCGGGGGAGAAGGAGGGGGACGGGGATGGAGGAAGTGGGAGGAGAGGCGGGAGGGGGAGGACAAATACGGGGAGGGGGGAGGGCGGTGGATGAGAGGGCGAGAGGGGGGGATGCCGAGGGTGGAGAGAGGAGGAGGAGGAGGAGGAGGAGGAGGAGGAGGAGGAGGAGGAGGAGGAGGAAGAGGAGTTGGAGGAGGAGGAGGAACAAACATGCAAACCCAAGACGCATCAACGATGTTGGAGTAAGCCGTCCCTCCAAGCTCCCTCTTCGCAGGCCCCTACAAAGGGAGGGAGTTGCCTCGTTGGGAAACATATGCTTGAAGACCTTGAAGCGTGTCAAAACACCATTATCGGGACTCCAACGCCACATTAATTTGATTGATGCGTCTTGGCGATGTTGAGGGGTGGTGGTGGTGGTGGTCACTGCATAAGGGAAACATAATCCCGAGCAGAGCAACACGCACCACGACCACGACGACGCCGACGACGACGACGACGACGACGGAGATGAGGCGCGCTTACGATCCGCACCGAAGCACGGATTTGGGAAAGGGCCCACCCTGCAGGTTCGGTTAAACAGCACATCGTTGAGCGGTGCTGCAGCCTCCCCTGAGCACAGGCCCCCCCGGAGCATCAGCCAGACAAGTCGGGTTTGCATCCTCATGCCTTGCTGGACTCTGGGCGCGTTTCGGCACCCTCTCCCCCAACCTCGTCAGGGCCACCGACAAGGGAGAGGGCGGCGGTGGCCGACGCGTCCCCGAGCTAAGAAGCTCAAAGCGCCGCGGCTCAGAGAGCCGGGAAGACAGACAGACAGACGGACGGACGGACAGCCAGGCGGCGTGCAATGCCTGGCAAGCCAAGTGGGTGGTCACTGCATAAGGGAAACAGAATCCCGAGCAGAGCAACACGCACCACGACCACGACGACGCCGACGACGACGACGACAACGGAGACGAGGATGTTGAGGGGGGGAAGAGGCGGAGGAAGAGGAGGAGGAGGAGGAGGAGGAGGAGGAGGAGGAGGAGGAGGAGGAGGAGGGGGAGAAGGAGGGCGGGAAGGCACCCGTGCGAGCGGAAAACCGACTCTGGCGAGCTGGGCGAGCTGTCCCGAAAGCGTTCCGATGTGCATTCGAGCTGAAGCCGAAGCCAACGCTGAAGTACATCAGCGTTGAAGCCAAGGCCCAACCTGAACGATCAGGGGGGGACAAACAGAAGGGATGCCGACCAGAAGGGATAAGGCATGATGAGGGAGAAGAAGGATGAGGAGGAAGACGCACGAGGAGGAGACAGAAAGGGTGCGCATATAAGTAGGTGGAGGACGCAGGAGGAGGGGAACGGCGGGGTGGAGGAAGTCACAACTATGGAATTGCGGAGTTTAGGGTGCCAAGGACGGTCAGCAGGAGGATAGAAGAGAATAGGGATATCGAGGAGCTGTCGATCCTGCTGCTTCTGCTGCCCCTTCTTGCCAGACCTTCCTAGGCGGCACGGATCAGTCAAGGGATTCTTCGACGTCAAGGGGCAGTTCCTGGGTCCCGGAACAATCACATGACACTCGGGACGAACGCCCGGTCGGGGGAAGGGGTCGGAAGGTTCGGGGCAAGTGATTTGGTTCGCAAGGCCATTGCCGAAGGGGGGGCATCGCGTTGTCGAGCACCGCCCGCTGGTCACCCCAGCGCGAGCCCGCGGCTGCCCTCGTGGCTACTCTTCAGATGTTTGACCGGTAGGGGGCCGATGCCCCCCCTCGCGTTCTCTGCAGCTCGTGGCCTCGCGGTGTTCGAACGAGGGGGGGCTTCAGGGACGTGGAAATGTCGGAGGCCCAGCGCCGATCCGAGGAAGCCACCGGGACCTCCAACAGCTTGTGGTCATGCAGTCTTGTTGTGTGGGGTGGGGTGGGGCGGGGGGGCATCCACGGTTTAACCCCCCAGAGCCCGCGACAAGTTCCGACGTTCCTGCGCCACTTCCCTCTCGTTGTGAGCGCCGTGCACCAATTGAGCGGGCTGGTCTGTCACCGCCAGGGTGGTCCGTCACTCCTGCTGCTGCTCATCCTTCTCTTTCCTGTCTGCTCCTCCCTCTGTCCTCCTTCTCCTCGTTCTAAGCCACCTCCTGCTCGGCATGTGCAGGGTAGTCGATATCTCGTACTGCTGCTCCTCCGAAATGGGCCCGACGGCTGTCTGATTTGATCTAGCTGGTCCTGGCCAAACGTGAGCAGCGCGAGGAGCGCAGGCAGTTTGGCTCCTCTTTGAGATATATCTCTCGGGGGGGCGTCAACACGGACCACCACCGATCCAGGCCAGGCCAACATTATGCCCAGCTTCGTGGCATGAATATGCCGTCTTCGCCAGCGCAGGTTGGCGTATTCAACCGTTTTGGGGCCCAGCAAGGATTGATGTAGGTCTCTACTCGGCGCCCACCCCGATGAACTCCGCTCGAATCCAGCCCCAGACCCTTTCCGTTTGGCATCGCTCGGACGTGTGCACTTTTTTTCTCGGCAAGGACCATCGAGACGAATTCGCCATGTTGCGAAGAATACACGCGCGAAGTCAGACATGCACGGGGAATGGACGTCCGAGCGATGGCAATTAGCTTGGCGAAGAGTCCAACCATATTCACTTCTGGGTAGCGCAATTGCGAGCGCCTTCTGAGGTGGAACTCCCTACGGGGCAACGCCCGCATGAGGGCCGTGTCGCTGGTGCCTTCGGTGGAGTACCTTGTGGAGCCACGAACCGTGTGAGGGGTGTGCCGAAACGGACGTTTCGCCCACATGCGGGCTCCGCAACTGGGGCCTTCGATGGAGCTCCCGTGGAGCCACGGGGGGTGCGAGGGACGTGCCGAAACGGGGGTGTCGCCCACCTGCGGGCTGTGCCATTGGAGCCCTCGGTGGAGCTCCCTGTGGAGCCACGGAACGTGTGAGGGGTGTGCCGAAACGGGATTATCGACCCCACCTGCGGGCTGCGCCACTAGGGCCTTCGGTGGAGCTCCTGGTGGGCCCACGGAACGATTGAGTGGTGTGCCGAAACGGGGGGGGGGCTCACCTGCGGGCTGCGCCCATGGGCCCTCAGGTGGAGCTCTCTGTGGGGCCACGAGACGTGTGAGGGGTGTGCCGAAACGGGGGTGTCACCCACCTGCGGGCTGCGCCACTGGGGCCTCAGGTGGAGCTCCCTGTGGGGCCACGAGACGTGTGAGTGATGTGCCGAAGCGGGGGTGTCACCCACCTGCGGGCTGCGCCATTGGGGCCTCAGGTGGAGCTCCCTGTGGGGCCGCGAGACGTGTGAGTGGTGTGCCGAAACGGGGGTGTCGTCCACATGCGGGCTGTGCCGTTGGGACCGTAGGTGGAACCTCCGGTGGGGCCACGGAACGCGTGAGGGGTGTGCCGAAACGGTAGATTGATGCGGAGAGCAGGGGCAGGGATGAGAAGAGGGAGGAGGATGGGGACGCGGAAGGACGTAAGGCAGGAAGGAAGGTGTGACGCGGGGCGCTGTCTCTTCAATACAAGGATCCAACACCACAGGATGGTTGGGAAGAAGTGGTGGCCCCCAGGTGCACGGGCACGGCGTGGCGGTGGGCTTGGGCATCCTCCCGGGCGACGAGTCCTCGGCTTGATCAAAACGTGAGGAGGAGGATGGCGCGGAGGATGGATGACGAGGAAGAGAAGGACGGCCAGAGTGAACCACGGAGGTTGGATGTGTCAGTGATGCTGCAAGGCCCCCTTCGCGTCCCAGGCCCCTTCACCATGCGTCCCTACGTATGATGCTGGTCGCTTCGAAAGCACCCCCTTGGCGGGCGATGGGTCGATGGGTCTGTTCTTCAAGCGAGAGTCCGTTTTTGAAAAAGGACACATCAGCGTAACGGCGCGTGCGGCTTGACAGGTTCGGGCTACAGGAACGGAGCATGTCTGGAGCGACACAGCCCCGTCTCGAGAAGCTGCCGCCCCCATTCTTGCATGTGTTGTGCTGCTGTTGCTGGTGCAGCTGCTGGTGCATACAATGGAGGCCCATGCCAAGAAACACGCTGCTTGCCTCCAGGGTGCCCTGGGTTTCTTGGGCTTCAATGGTTTTGCTATGGAAAGCCTGACGTTCCCACCACACATCGATGGACGTCCTGTGGCCTCAGGGTAGGGTTTCTTGTGGCAGATGTCTTGTGGATTGGCCTCGACGGTAGTTGTTGCGCATTTGCTGGTGCATATCTTAAGAAAAAACGACCGCTTATGTTTTCAAAGGGCACATATTCCGTTTGCATTGCCGCTGTAGGTTTTGTGATCGAGTGAAAGCGGCGTTAAGGCGAGCGGCGTTTTGAAAACAGTGTTTCTTTTTTATGGAGGTGAGCGTATACGACGCATTCGCGCGGCCTTGAAGACACAAGGGCCACGTCTGAGAAGCCAGCCGCCGTTCGTCGTTGCAAGACATGTTGGACGATGGAGGGTTTACAGCCATAAGTTGCCAGGAGGTACTACGTGCAGCGTTCAACGCCTGGTCCACCCTGCAGATACGTCTCGGGGCGCGACGGGTGCGAGCCATTTCAAGGTCGGGCGGCGGGGTCTGTCCACGACCGCCTCCCCGTCGCCTGGTCCTCCTCCTCCTCCTCCTCCTCCTCCTCCGCCTCCTCCTCCTACTCCTACTCTTCCTCCAGCGCCAGCGGGTCGGGGCCCTCCTCTGCCGCCCGCGCCACGGGGCCCTCGCCCCGCCCCCTCCCTCGCCCTCTGCGGCCGCCGCCATGGCCTCGGGCGGCGAGACTGCGCCGCGCGCCCCCCGCCCCCCGCGCACTGCAGCGGCGCGTCGCGCTCAGTACGCCCGCGCGGAGGGCAGGGCGGCGGCGCACCTCCTCCGCGCCTTCGCCGAAGTGCAGGGGCATCGAGGACAGGACCTGTCGTTCCTCGCCTTCGCCCTGCGCCAGGCGTTGGAGTCTTCGCGAGGTGTCCACGGCCTGCGTGGACCTCAAGTTGGTGCGCGTGGTCATCCACCTGGTGCGGATCTTCCCCCAGTCGCGGGGGTTCCGCCAGACGACTTTCCTGGTGCATATGCTCTTCCTCGCGATGGAGAGTGCGATCATCCACTTGCCGCGGAAGTTCCCCCCGAAACAGATTTTCCACCAGTGGACTTTCAAGGTGCCCAGGTTTTTCCTCACGATGTTGAGCGTGGTCATCAGGCTGGGCTGTACCTCCGAGGCGGTGCGCAACTACCACCAACAGGTGCAGGTGCTCCAGATCCACGAGTCGTCGCTCTACCTACCGCGCCTCCTGCCCAGTCGGGTGTTCTTATGTCTAGGCCTCGTCGTCGACGGCGTGTCAAAGGGGCGTATGAGCCCAGGGAAGCGGAAGAGGTCGAACGTGAGGTCGAAGATGGATCGACGTTCCATGAGCGCCGATCCTCCGTACCCTGCGACGCGGCCCCCGTTGGATCCTTACCACCTGTTTCAGGCGCTGGTTTGGCTGAGGGCGCGTGCGCCCATGGCGCAGGCACCGCAGGCATCACAGGGATGGAGACGCCCTTGCCGCAAGGCTCTGGTGAAGTCTCCTACGGATAAAGCTGGCAAGGTTGGTGGGCTTGACGATGGCGGCTCTGTCAGTTCACCTATTGCCCAGGTTGTCCAAGTGCTTACCTCGGAGCTCTCTGACGCGAAGTCGGGGGAAGGGCTCAGAGATGCCCAGTCGAAGACCAGCGACTATAATCCAGCGGTGCAGCCAGCCCTCTGCACCCCAGTTCGGCGCGAAGGAGGTTTGCAAGGACACTGCAGCAATGTCCCGGATGCGAAGGCTGGCGCAGAGACAGTGGCCGCAGGTTTGTTCATTGGCATTTTCGGGACCACGGTTGGCGCGCAGACTGAAAGGGCGCGCGTCCACGATGCAAGCGCCAAGGTGGGACTTTTTACGAGTGCCAGCCCAACCGACTTGGCAAGCGTGTTCACATCGAGAGCCGCGCCTGAGTCGGCGGTCTTGCCGATCAGGCCTGCCCCGCGGCCGTCTGCCTGTGCCCCCGTGTACGCTCGGGTCACGGGGCAGGGGTCGTGCAGCAACTCTGCTGGAAGCACCTGGCAGCCTTCCGGGGTGGAGGCTCGTCGCGTGGAGGCTGATGACGCCCACGATGGTCCGCGCAGTCTCACTGATCGAGGCGCCGCCAGTGCTTCAAGTCAAAGGCAAGATGACAAGCCGCACCCAGCAAGCCCATGGCGCAGCTAGCGGGGCGATGTCCGTGAGCCGAACCCATAGTGAGGCTCGCGGTGCACTTGCCGCTGCCAGGACGCTACACATTGGCATGAGGGTCAAAGTCAGTGGCTGTTTGGTGACATCTGGCCCCGGCAAGCGGCGCGGCCGCCCGCGCCTCTCCGCCATGTCCTTGGGCCCGCGCGGCACAGCGCACAGCGTCGACTTCGCGGTGGGAGGCTTCGGCCATACAGAGGAATATGGTGCTCTTGTCGATTGGGACCCTCCGTGCCAGTTTGCAGTTTGCTCCGTGGCCTACCATCCGCGGAGCGAGTGGCAGCACCTCTCTCCGTTACGAGGTGCTTGCTATCCTTCGGCGTTCCCTCTTTGGCTGAGCGACGCTTTGGGGTCGTGGGTCACGCGAAGGAGGGCGGGCTTCTACGCCCTCCCCGCCACTGGCGCCCACGCGTCGCTCTCCCGTTTCATTTTCGGCGGACTGTTCATCATCCGCTCGCGGGCCTTCCTCCGCGGGCGGGTCTACCTGCCCCTGGGCTGCGCCAAACTAGCTGGCCGCTCCGCGCGCGAGCTTGCGCGCGTCAGCGCGTCCTCGGCGATGCGCCAGCCAGCGCCGAGCCGTCGCGGCAATCGCCGCCGCATGCGTTTTGCAAACCATGTTGCGGGTGGGCGGGTGGGATGTTTGAGCGAGCAGTGGAGTTGTCAATTCTAATTTCTTCCAGATTTATTATCCTGTCTAAGAAAAATTCACCCCCCCTCTGGCGCTCCCCCCCCCTTTCGGTATGTAAATCATGTGCGTTTCTGACCATATGTCCGTTTTAAATATGAATTTACACGATCCCAGGGGGGGCGGGATCGCCCCCCCTGAGGTTCCCTGGTGAGAAACAATACGCGGGGTTTGGTTCTAACCCAAATGTTTTTTTCACGAATCCATTGCAACAAAAAAAGGGGACGAAGTGCACGCGCGCGTCGTCGCGCGCATGCCGAAATCCTTCAAAAACCGTCGGTCTCGGAATGGTTTCGCAATCGAAGTTCCCCACCCCCCCCAAAAAAAAAAACAACTGTTTCGCAACATTGATTTGCTAAACAAGTTTACGCGCGGGTTCTTGCGAAATCTTAAAACAACCATGCATTGTTTAATACAGATTTTGACAAAATGCTACCAAGCGGGCTTCGCGCGCGCATATCGAAATCTGTCGAACGCCGTTGCGCGTGTGCCGTCGCGAGAATCCTCTGCAAAATAGGGGGCCATGTGCAGACGCGCGCGTCGTCGCGCGCGTATGCCGGAATCCTTCAACGCCCATCGGTTTCGGAAGGATTTCAAAATCGTGCGTCCAAAAAGCCGACAACAACCACAAGGTTTCGCAACACGTATTTTCAACAAAAGCGTGCGCGCGCGCTCTTGCGTCGTCGTCGTCGTCGCCGTCCTCCCTTCTCCCGCGTCGTCGTCGTCGTCGTCGCCTACGTCGTCCTCTGTCTTTCATCGTGTTCGTCGTCGTCGTCCTCTTTGGCGTCGTGGTCGTTTCCGTCGTCGTTGTCGCCGTGGTCGTCTTTTGTCCCTCCTCGTCGTCGTCGTCCGTCTCGGCGTCTCGTCGTCGTCCCTCCTATATCGTCGCCGTCGTCGTCGTCGTCGTTGTCGTCGTCGTCGTCGTCTTCCATCCTCCGTCGTCGTTGTCATCGTCGGCGTCGCCGTCTTTTCTCCTTTCTCGTCGTTCGCGTCGTCGCCGTCCTCCCTCGTCGTTGTCGTCGTTGTCGCCGTTGTCGTCCCTCCTCCCTCGTCGTCGTCGTCAGCGTCAGCGTCATCGTCCTCGTCGTCGTCGTCGGCGTCGGTGTCATCGTTTTCGGCGTCGTCGACGTCGGCGTCGTCGTCGTCGTCGCCGCCGTCGTCGTCGTCGGCGTCGGCGTCGGCGTCGGCGTCGTTGACGTCGTCGTCGTCATCGTCGGTGTCGTCGTCGTCGTCAGCGTCGTCATCGTCGTCGTCGTTGTCGTCGTCGTCGTCGTCGGCGTCGGTGTCGTCGTCGTCGTCGGTGTCGTCGTCGTCGTTGTCGGCGTCGTCGAAGTCGTAGGAGACGTCGTCGGTGTCGTCGTAGTCGTTGTCGGTGGCGTCGTCGTCGTCGTTGTCGCTGTCGTCGTCGGCGTCGCTGTCGTTGCCAAGTGCCGTTTGGTACCCACCGTCACGGCCTTAAGAGATTTTGCAAACCAAGTTGCGGGTCGGTGGTTGGGATGTTTGTGCGAGCAGTGGAGTGGACAACTCACTGCGAACAGAAATTGACTCTCGTTCCAAAAATAGGAATGGACTCTACCCCCCCGGGCGTTATCGGCCCCCCTTTCGGGTATGTAAATCATAAAATGATGAAACATGTCCATCCTAAATATGAAATTACAGTGTCCCAAGGGGGCTGTGATCGGTCCCCCTGAGGTTCCCTTGTGAAAAAAACAATACGCGGGGACATGTTTTCCTAACCCATTTTTTTTTCACGAATCCCTTGCAACAGAAATGGGAGACGAAGTGCACGCGCGCGCGTCGTCGCGCGCGCATGCCGACATCCTTCACAAACCTGCAGTGTCGGAAGGATGTTTTGCAATCGAGCTCCCAGAAAACATAAAAAAAACAGGGTTTCGCTGCACGGATTTGCTAAACAAGCTTGCGCGCGAGCTCTTGCGCAATCTTAAGAAAACCATGAGTTTTTCAAGATTTTCACAATATGCCACCAAACGGGTTTCGCTCGCGCGCATGTCGAAATCTGTCGAACGCCGTTGCGCGTGTGCCGTCGCGAGAATTTTTTGTTATAAAAAATGAGACGAAATTCAGACGCGCGCGTCGTCGCGCGCGTATGCCGGAATCCTTCAAAACCCATCGGTTTCGGAAGGATTTCAAAATCGTGTGCCCAAAAAACCTACAACAACACAGGGTTTCGCAACACGTATTTTCAACAAAAGCGTGCGCGCGCGCTCTTGCGTCGTCGTCGCCGTCCTCCCTTCTCCCGCGTCGTCGTCGTCGTCGCCTACGTCGTCCTTTGCCTTGCCTCGTCGTCGTCGTCGTCCTCTTTGGCGTCGCGGTCGTTTCCGTCGTCGTTGTCGCCGTGGTCGTCCTTCCTCCTCCCTTGTCGTCGTCGTCGTCCGTCGTCGGCGTCTCGTCGTCGTCCCTCCTATTTCGTCGCCGTCGTCGTCGTCGTCGTCGTCGTCTTCCCTCCTCCCTCGTCGTTGTCGTCGTCGGCGTCGCCGTCCTCCCTCCTTCTTCGTCGTTCGCGTCGTCGCCGTCCTCCCTCCTCCCTCGTCGTCGTCGTCGTTGTCGCCGTCGTCGCCCTCCCTCCTCACTCGTCGTCGTCGTCTTCGTTAGTGACATCGTAGTCGTCGTCGTCTTCGTCGTCGTCGTCGTCGGCGTCGTCGGCGTCGTCGGCGTCGGCGTCGTCGTCGTCCGCGTCGTCGTCGTCGTCCTCGTCGTCGGCGTCGTCGTCGCCGTCGTCGTCGTCGGCGTCATCGTCGTCGTCGGCGTCGGCGTCGTCGTCGGTGTCGTCGTCGTCATTGTCGTCGTCGGTGTCGTTGTCGTCGTCGTCGTCGTCGGAGCCGTCGTCGGTGTCGAAGTCGTCGGGGCCGTCGTCGGTGTCGTCGTAGTCGTCGTCGGCGACGTTTTCGTCGTCGTTGTTGTCGCGCTCCGTAGCCATTTTGGCTCAAGATGATTTTCGCCCCGTGCGAGAGCACGGATACCTTTGGTCCAGGGCTAGCGAGGACCCAGTTGTTTCCCCGCCGCTCGTGCGCCCGCGCGAGTGAGCTTCATATCTCGACCGCTCAATGGCTCCGCTTCCTGCTCCTCGTGGGGACGGCGATGGGGCCCTCAGCGGCACCTTCATGCGACAGCCATGGCGTGCAGTGTGGCCCTGGCGTGAGCAGTGGCGTCGCAGCGGAGGCCAACAGCAGCAGCGTGGACGCAAGGTCTACTGCCAGGAGTGCTGCAAGTGGCTGTTCGCAGATCGTTTGGAAGCAGAGAGCTACACGTGCAAGTGCGGTTCAAGCAGCTGGGGGGCGGAGCCACCTGAAGGAGCGGGACCACCTGGAGGATGGGATCGCGACGGAGGGTGCTGGCCAAGTCTCAGCGCGCGCGCAGGCACCAAGAAGGGCAAGGCCAAGAGCTTCGGGGCCCGTGCTGCTGACGGACAGCGGCCGTTGGCAGAGCTCCCCCTTCAGCAACTACTCGAAGCAGCAGCGGCCAAGACAGAGGGCAAGCAGAAGGAGAGGCTCGACGCGCTGCTGGCGGAAGCGGTCCCCGCACCAGCGGCGACAACGATACATGCCCAAGGCCGCTGAGGACCGAGTCCAGAAGGCCCAGGCGGCGCAGACAAAGGCCTTCCGACGGCGGGAACGTCTCCGAGATGAGCTACGGCAAGCAGAAGCTGATCTGGCCGCTCGCAGCGCAGAGGTGGCCGCAGCTGAAGACGAAGTCAAAGCGGAACTTCAGCGACATCCCCTCGGCGGTGTTGCAGCCGCCGGCGCAGGTCGTGGCAGGGCCAACGCCCTCCCCATCGGCGCTCTCTTCGCGGACGAGGAGGTCCAGGTGGACATGGGCAACCTCTTCGATTGCAGCGGCGACATCAGCGAGTCCGACAAGAGGGAGATCGAGCAGCGCAAGCTCGCCTTCGCCAGCGCGGCGAAGGACGCGGCCCGCGCTGCCTTCGCAGCGGCGGCCGAGAAGCTCAGGCAGCAGCAGAAGGACCAGCAGGGGTTCACGGCGCGCCTCCAGAAGAAGAGGAAAGGTCGACGACGAGGAGAACGTGGGACAGAGCGCAGCTGACGGCACAGGGACTCCGCCAGCGGCGCCTGCAGCCGCCAGCGGAGGGGCAGCGGCCTCCCCAGCGGCGCCCACCGCGCAAGAGTTGGCAGACAAGGAGGTTGCAGAGAAGAGGGCCTCGGCTGAAGCAGCGGCTGCTGCTCGCGAGCGCTCCAAGGTTGGCGGCGCCAAGCAAGGGCTTTAGCCACTGCGTCTACATGCACAATCTCTCGACCTGGGGGCCGAGGCTGAGGAAACGCATCAGCAACGGCACGGACGACATCTTCATCTTCTCTGAGACGCACGTCGGGGCGGACGGGATTAACGAGATCCTGGGCCACCTGAACGGCAAGGGCTGGACGGCGATAGTGACGCCTTCTCGACGGAGCTACCGAGCGGGCCAGGCAGGCGGCGTCGGCATGGCGGCGAAGGCGCACCTTTCTGTGCAGTCGCTGCGGCATCCCGCGGCGAAGAAGGAGCAGGCGGTCGGGCTCCGTCTACTCGATGCCGATTGGTCTCCAGGGCCGATCGGTTTCCAGGACGTGGTGGCGATCACGTGGCGGTAGAAGGGTCACTCAGCCCCCGTGGTCGGCATCTACCTCGCATTGTCGCTCGGAGTGAAGGGCGAGAACCAGATGAAGATGGCGAGGCTAGCAGCGCTGGTTCGTCGCCACGACGGGCCGTGGGTGGCGGTTGGCGACTGGAACGCGGAGCCGAGCGAGATCAAGCAGGCGGGCTGGCTCAAGGTGCTCGGCGGAGTGGTGCGCACGCCAGAGGACGTGCAGTACACGTGCACACGGAGTACAGCGAGGATGCTCGACTACGCGATCTGCTCGGAGTCGTTCCAGCGCATGATCGCGAGAGTGGTCAGTGACCAGATGGACCCAGGCGATCACTACGGGGTCAGGATCCACATTCGGGGGGAGACCGGGTCGGCGCTCCAGAGGATGTTCGTCCTCCCCAAGCCTCTACCCTTACCTGGCGCGCCGAAGAGGCGGGCCGATCCGAATAGCAAGGGGGGCATGCAGAAGGAGAAGGACCGCCAGCTGAGGGGCGTCAACGAGGGGATTGCGTGCGCGGAGGAGAACGCAGTGGGGGTCGAGAACTTCGCGGCCGTCCGCTGCTCGGACGCCCCTGTCGAGTGCAGGAGGGTCGGCCAGGAGATGGGGGATCTCTTCGGCGGCTACGAGTCCAGCGTGGAGGACGACGAGGTCAGCGACTACGGCGAGAAGAAGGTCGGGAAGGAGACCAAGCAGAGCGCAGACGAGGTGTTCGACATTCCTGAGGCCCAGAGGGGCGAGATCTGGCAGCTCAAGATCGGTCAGGCTTACGGGGGGGACCGTCGTGCCTGGCGTACGCCACCCAGCTACATCGCGGACTCGGCGGCGGACCAGTTCGATCCTTTCGGTGCCAAGGGACTGGGCGCGCAGTGCACGCGGCGGAGCAGTACTACTTGGGCTTTCTGAAAATCGGGCCCACCGAGAGGCGCAAGTACGCTGGGGCGGGCGAGGCAGTGAGCTTCGCCACGAGAGTCAAGCGGATGAGTGATAACGTGGCCAGCGGTGCAGACAGCTCAATCACGTGGTGGGGGACCTTGGCTTCCTACTTGGTCGAGCTGCAACGCTGCCATGATCAGGGCCAGCGTGGTCAACACCTGCGGAAGCGCATCCGAGAGATGGTCAGCTCCATACCGAGCGGGGGGTGTCAAGATGACGAGCAAGCAGAAGAGGAAGTGGCGCACCATTCTGGCCGAGGTGCACAGCTTGAACACCGACCAGCTCCAGGCCCTCGGCGCGGCAGCTCTCGCCACAGCCAGGAAGGGCAAGCGCGCGGAGGTGAACGAGGCGCTCATCGCGCACACCAACTGGGCGCAGGAGCGGGGGGCGGTGGGCAGTGGCAAGCTTCACCGACGCACGCGGGACAAGCCCAGGTGCGACAACGAGGTCAGGACCAGCGACTGGACGGCCACCAACATGGTCGAGTACATGGACGCCAAGGGCGCGCAGTGGAGGAAGAAGTGGACCAGCAGCTACGCTCGCGCCGTCGTGCTGGACAAGCTGGGGGTCACCAGGGCAGCGGCCTTGGAGGAGGATTGGGCCCCCATCACCTTGGAGAGCCTCAACAGCGCGATCCACACACAGCATGGGCAAGAGCAAGGCGAAGGGCGTCGAGCAGACGGGGGCCCTCGCCTACAAGTGGCCCCCTCCCAGCGCCAGCGTCGAGCTGCTCAACGTTCTCATCCAGGTCGAGCGCACTGGGACCTGGCCGTGGCAGCTCTGGTCACTTTGGTCAGCCTGCTGCGCAAGGGCGCGGGGGGCGACCGTGCCATCGGGCTGCTGTCGGAGGTGATGAAGATCTGGTCCAAGATCAGGAGCCAGTACACGAACGAGTGGGCGTCGCACATGGCAGGGAAGTGGGACGCCGCGATCGCGGGCAACAGCGCCCTGAAGGAGGCCTCCGATCGCTCCTTCGCCGACGAGGTGCTGGAGTGGGCACCCATGAAGGTTTTCACGGTGACTGCGTTGTGGGACTTAGCGGAGTTCTGCGACATGTTGGAGCCCCTCCTCATCTTGGAGGAGGGGCTCCGCCTCGGCCTCCCAGCGCGCACTTTGCACCTGGAGATGCTGAACCATCTGAGCACGAGGCTAGTACGAGAGCGGACGGCCTACGCAGAGCCGATCTCGCCCGACAGGTCGATCTGCGCGGGCGCCAGGCGTGACATCGACTTCGGCAGGGTGGCGCTCTACGCCACGCTGGAGCAGGCCTGCGCGAAGTACCAGCAGGTGTACGTCCGCTCGTGGGTGGACGACGTCACCACCAGGATGGAGGGGTCCAGGCGCGAGGTGATCAAGCAGCTCACGGGCGCTGGAGTGGGCTTCGCCGCAGGGCCCAGGAAGGCCAGGCTCACCCTTTCGAGCAAGCCCACCCTGATCGGCAACGACATGGACGTGGTCAAGGAGGTCGCGCCCAGGCTGAGGAGCCGCAACATCGCGGTCAAGGTGAAGGGCCAGGCGCCAGACTTGGGCATCGACAGGGGCCACAGCATCGGAGGAGGCAAGGGCAAACACACGAAGCGAGCCGCCCATGCCAACCGCCAGGTGGCCAAGCCTCTGAATATGGCGAGAAGTGGAGGAAGGGCCAGAGGCGGCGCGAGACAGGTCGTCCAGCGGGGAGCGCTGCCCCGAGCAGCCTACGCATGCAAGGTTTTCGGCATGGCTCCCAGCACGGTTACCAAGCGGAGGAGGAGGGTGGCCTCGGTGGTAGCCCCGCGCCTTCGGGGCCGCTGCCTCACGACGCTGCTGCAGCTGGAGATCGGCGTGGACGATCCTGCGTTCGGCACGGTTTTCGCGCTGCTCGGCTCGTGGATGCACATCGTCAGCGACCCGCAGAGGAGGAAGAAAGTGCGCATCGTATGGCCTCGCATCGTCTCGGCCATGCTGAAGAAGAAGCCGCAGCACAGGTGGCGAGGAGTTACGGGCATCACGCGCGCCATGGTGGTCACGCTGCTGGACCTGGAGTGGCAGCCCCTGGGGCCATGGCACTGGGTCTCGAAGGAGGGCGAGGTTTTCGGCGGCGACGACGAGCACGCGCTGGACGACGACGTGGACCTCAGCGACCTGAAGGCGGCGATCAAGAGCACGATAGAGGTGAAGCAGTGGGCGCTGGCCGCGCAGCATTTTGCAGGCGGCGGGCAAGAGGGAGGAGCTGACCTCCGCTCTGCGAAGATGAAGACCGGCAAGTTTCGCAGGAAGGGCCAGCACGACAAAGAGAGCGCGTTCCTCGCGATCATGACTGGAGGAGCGTGGCCGAGGCAGCGCGTGGCGGACCTCGGCATCGAGATCGAGGACGTCATGTGCCCCAGGTGCGGCGAGGAGCCAGAGACGTGGAAGCACCGCGTGTGGGAGTGCAGGTGCAACGAGACCATCGAGGGCATCGAGAAGTCGCAGCACATCGTGGCGAGAGCTTCCACGGAGGTAGAGAACCAGCCGTGCCTGTGGCTGCGAGGCCTACTACCAGCAAGCTGGACGTCGGTCAACGGCCCGCCCGAGCCTGGGGCGGAGCTGATCGAGAACTTCGGTGACTTGCAGGTCCTCTCCAGCAGCGCGGAGAGCATGGCGGACGGATGGCTCGTCGCGGCTGGCGATGCGTCAGGCGGCGAGTACTCGAAGGACCCAAGGCTGAGGAGGGTGTCTTCGGGCTGGGTGGTCTTCAACAGCGTGGACCCAACCGAGGCGAAGGTGGTCGCGGGCAGCCGTGGCGCTCTCGCGGGCAAGAGGCATAGCGTCAACCGCGGGGAGCTTATGGCGCTGAAGGACGTGATCATCGCAGCTGGCGGGAGCTACGACAAGACCAGGTACACCGCCGACTCGTCGTACGTGGTCAGGGGCATGGACAAGCTTCGAGGTGGGAGGATGCCCAGGACCCACGTCGACTTGTGGAAGGAGGTCAAGCAGGGCATCATCGGCAAGCAGGTCGAGATCACCAAGGTGGAGAGCCACATGTCGGCCCAGGAGGCGCTGGACGCAGAGGTCAACCCGATCGACTGGCTCGGGAACGCCCTGGCGGGCGATTTCGTGGACGGCATCGCGGAGTCGGTGCAGGTACCGCGCGCGCAGGCACGGTCTGCGGGCTTCGCGGAGGGCGTCGCAGGGCTCGTCAGGGACCGTGCATACCTGACGCTCATGGCTTCCATGGGGGCGGAGCCGTCGCAGGTCCCGAGCTTGAAGATCAGGCAGGAGGCCCACGTCAAGGCGCGCTGGCGAGCCGCGCTGCTGGAGGGCACTAAGCACAACGTCACTGACGACGTGAGTGGCAAGCACTGCAGGTGCCTGAGGTGCGGGCCCCGCGCGCTGATGCCCTCAGCGGACGCATGGCTAGCAGGCGAGTGCATCGCCGTGCAGAAGGCGGACGCGGTCCACGACTCGCTGAGGAGCAGGCCGAGGATCGCGAACCAGGAGGCTCACGAAAGCCACGTCGTGCTGTACGTGGAGGAGCTCGGCCTGCACTACTGCAAGAAGTGCGGCTGCATCGCGAGGGAGAGCATGAGGAAACTCGCGCAGGTCTGCGAGGAGACCCCTAGCCAGATGGGGAAGCAGAGCCTCTCGGGGATCGCGAAGGGCCTGCAGCCAGGCACCAGCGCGATGGCGCTGGCGTTCAACAAGAGGAAGAGCGGAGGAATCTGAGCACGCGCCGTTTGCGCTTGGCTCATCGTTTTGCACTGCCCGCAGACTGCGGGAGAGGCGGCGCAGCCCCCTCGGCACACAAGTCGTCGTTGTTGTCGCTGTCGTCGTCGGTGTCGCTGTCGTCGCCAAGTGCCATTTGGTATCCACCGTCGTGGTCTGAAAATGTCTTGCGACCAAGTTGCGGGTGGGAGGATGGGATGTTTGCACGAGCAGTGGAGAGGACAGCTTCAAGGCAGTCCAAGTGAGTCGCACCGCATAGACTGCACCATGTAGGTTGCACGACGTTTGTTGCTAGAAACACAGGTGTTCGGGGCCCGTGGTGGTTAAGGTACAGGGGAGGGGCAGTGGAGGTGGGGAGGAGGTGGGTGAGTCATTGTGGACATTTTTCCTTGATCTCGCCTCCGTCTCCCCCCCTCCGTGCGGAGGTTTGGGGGGGGGGCGCGTGCCCTGTCACCGGGTGCCAGGTAGGCTATCGCCTCCCGCTTGGATGCTGAGGTGAATTCGCCTGACGGGCACGCCCCCTTCGCTTGTGGCGCAGCTGGAATCGAGGGCGGCAGATGACGGGGCTCAATTATTGCCCTTTCGTTCTCGTCCCTCTTTGTCCTCACACTTTTTGTGCCGCTGAGCTTTCAAGAAGATGACCAAAGCTCGAGTCTGAAGTTTTGCGCGCGGTCTGTTTTTACAGTGGGTCGCAGTGGAAATACGCGTGTGCCAGCTGTCGCCTACAGTAAATCAGGGCGGTTGAGCATACGATTACTGTATGGGCACAACTGCTGTTTGCGCATCCGGTATGGTGGGCGGGGCGTTGGTAGTTGAGCCTATGGGCAAAACCATTTGGAAGCATCAACATGTGAACCCGAATTTCGAATCACCATTTCGTAATCCCAGATAGTGGTCAGCCGGGCGGGCGTTTTGGGTGGGTTGTCTGCAACGTCGGCGAACCGCCGTGTGGATTTCGAGATGGTGGTCAGGCATGTTTGGCTAGCTCGAAACTGCGCAAGCAGGCGGCAGTAAACACCACCGCGCCAACCGCCACGCCGCCCATTCAGAAGCAGCCTCCTCCTTCTCCTCTCCCCCTCCTCCTCCTCCTACCCCCCTCCTCCGTTGTCCTGGTGCCTCCTTCTCCTCCTCCTCTTCCTATCCCCCTCCTCCTCCTCCTCCTATCCCCCCCCCCCTCCTCCTCCTCCTTCTCCTCCTCCTCCTCCTCCTCCTCCTCCCCTCCTCCTATCCCCCTCCTCCTTCTCCTCCTCCTATCCCCCTCCCCCCTCCTCCTTCTCCTCCTCCTTTTCCTCCTCCTCCTCCTCCTCCTCCTCCTCTTCCTCCCTCCTCCTCCTCCTCCTCTGCCCCTCCTCCGTTGTCCTGGTGCCTCCCTCCTCCTCTTCCTATCCCCCTCCTCCTTCTCCTCCTCCTCCTCCTATCCCCCTCCCCCTCCTCCTCCTCCTCCTCCTCCTCCTCCTTCTCCTCCTCCTCCTCTCCTCCTCCCTCCTCCTCCTCCTCCTCCTCCTCCTCCTCCCCCTCCTCCTTCTCCTCCTCCTATCCCCCTCCCCCTCCTCCTCCTTCTCCCTCCTCCTTTTCCTCCTCCTCCTCCTCCTCCTCCTCCTCCTCCTCCTCCTCCTCCTCTGCCCCTCCTCTGTTGTCTCCTGGTGCCTCCCTGTTGTCTCCTAGCGCCGGGGCGAAAGAGGAGGCGGGGCGGCGGCGGCGGCCGCGGCGGGGGCGCGCGGGCGATGCGCGGCCGTGTGTGGCGGGAGGGCCCTGCTGGAGCAGGCCTGTCGAGTGGCACGGGGCTGGGCAGGCCTGTCGAGTGGCTCCAGTGCAGTCGCAGGGGGGTCGCCTGGGGATGTCTCCCCCCCCCCACCCCCTTCCACCCCCTTCCCTTCCTCCTCCTCGGTCCTCTTCCCCACTTCCGCCTCCTCGTCCTGGAATCCTCCTCCTCCCTCCTGTGTCCTCCTCTTCGTCTCCTCCTTCTCCTCCTCCTCCTCTTCCTCTTCCTCCTCCTCCTCCACCCCTGGGGCCACGGTGGCCAGTTGGCTGCTTGGCTGCCTGGGAGATGGGGCCGGAGCAGATGGGGTCGGAGAGTCCGATGCTCCCTGGCCCGACGTCGCCGGTTCATCGGCGATGCGGCGCGATACCGCGATCTAATCCGGTGGTTCATAGATGGGGTCCTGAGGGACGAGGTCCTGCGGATAAGAAGGGATCCGAGGGTGGATTTACACTGTTTGTGGCACCTTGCCCCTAGGACCCCATCCCTTTGGACCCCATCTTTGAGCCACGGACTAATTTGCTCCAGGTACATCCTGATGGGCCTGTTCTCCACTACCGCCACCACAAGTTGGAGCGGGGAAGGAGGTGGAGGAGAGGGAGGACGAAGAGGAGGAGGAGGAGGAGGAGGAGGAGGACGAAGAGGACGAGGAGGTGGAGGACGAAGAGGAGGAGGAGGAGGTGGAGGAGAAGGACGAAGAGGAGGAGGAGGGGGAGGAGGAGGAGGAGGAGGAGGAGGGAGGAGGAGGAGGAGGGGGAGGGGGGGCCCTCTCCTCCTCCAACTTCTGGTGGTGGTGGTGGTGTAAAACAGGCCCAGCACATGCGGGAGGCCTCCGAGAGCACCACTGCGGGGGCCTCCCCGGAGGCCCTCGGAGGTCTGCGCCGAGGCCTCCGCGGGGGCCGCCGGCAGCCCGAGGAGGGGCTGGTCTGGGTCGAAAGGCATTGGCCCTTGGGTCTCCGGGTCCTCTCTTTCCCCTCAGAGGAGGAGAAGGTACCCAGACTTCTACGCTTTCCTCGTTTTCCCCTTTCTGGACCTCCTGGGAGGTCCTCGTCGCCGCCGCCGGACTCGCCTCGAACTCCTGGTCAGAGCGCTCCCCAGGAGAGGCCCCGGGAGTAGCGGTAGGGGTACCTTCTGGTCTGCCCCCTCCCCCCTCTCCTCCTCCCCGGGTTCTCCTTCCCCTGCCGGCCCTCCTCTCCCTCCCTCGCACCTCGTCCTCCTCCTCCTCCTGGAGTTCTCTTCCTCCTCCTCCTCCTCCTCCTCCTCCTCCTCCTCCTCCTCCTCCTCCTCCTCCTCCTCCTCCTCTTCGGAATAGAAAATACTAAGCCAGCTCGTCCCCGCTTGGGCCGCACCGCCAGCCCAAACGGGGAGCCTGAACCGGGTGTTGCACCGTAGAGTGCATGGGGTGTGCCACCCATGTGGCGCGCCATGGGTTGCGCGATCCATGGGTTGCACCATGTGTTTCGGGCTTCATGGGTTGCGCCTCAAGTTACGCCACGGGTAGCGCGATCCATGGGTTGCGACATCCTTGTGATGATCCATCCGTGGTTTGCGTTGGTTGCGCGATGTGTTGGCTGCGACGTTGGTCTCAACCCAGGTTCAAGCGTTACTTTATCAGATGCAGTTTAGATTGCTTACTTTGTTGCCGAATGCAGACTTGCATTCCCGAAGGTGAAACGAAGTTCGACGTCTAGCTGCCCCCTCCTTGCCTCTCTCCGCGTGCTCAGGAGTTCTTTGGGTACATCTGTCCGCAGTTGTTTTCGCGGTCAAGGGGGGTGAGCTTTTGAATTAAATCCCAACCGTACAAATCGGCTGACGGCCATACATTTCTTCCTGCTCTCTTTGGGCGCTATGGGGCGCTACCGGGGCCGCATAGGGGGTGTGTTGTGCCCCTCTTGGGGCCACACTGTGTCCTTATCCAGTGGCGCTGCCGCGCGATCCCGCCACCGCGTTCGGGCGGGCGCCCAGGGTGCTGGTGGGGGGGGGGCGGGCGCCGGGTGGAGGAGGTCCGCTGAACGTGTCTCCCCCGACCTAATATTGGGGCTCATCTTCTGTCTGGAAGGCCAGAATCGCAGAGACCTGGTCACAAAAGTCAACGCAGCCTGAGCTTGATGCGTCGGGGGGGGCCCAATTCTTGCTGCGCGAGGAGCGAGAGGGCCCGACAGACAGACAGACACACACAGACGCACACACATACACCCACACCTACCTCTGCAAGCGCGGTGGCGGAAAATGCCCACCGGAAGCGAAAAGGCGAAAAGGCAACACACACATTACTTCTTCTTCGGTGGTGTAAGGGTTCGGGCCTCTGTGGGGGCCCCCCTTGGGAGGCTTCGTGGCCACTCGGGGCCGCATTGGGCCTCTTGGAGGTGTGGTGGTGACCATCTTGAGCCATCATGGGATATCTTGAGCCATATCGGAGCCATGCTGGCCAAAAGGCCGTACAAGGATGCCCACGAGATTCCGAAGTCTGTGGGGAAAACATATAATTGTTCACTGATATTGTTTTTGAGCGAATGGGGTGGTCCCTAATTCCGGCTGCCCTTCTTGAGCCTTTACCGCCGTATGGAGCCGTGCGTTCTTGGGGCCGTGTTGTGGCCAACTTGCGTTATCTTGGAGCCACCTTGAGGCCTTCCAATGCGCATCTGAAGCACAAAGGCGAGAATGTAAACAACACATGTGGTTCCTTCGGCTTTGGAATGGTTGTGGCCTCTCGTGGGCGTTCTTGGGAGGCTTCGTGGCCACGTGAGGCTGTCTTGGAGCAGTCCGGGGGCTGTTGGGAAGCATTTCAGAGGCCATCTTAAGCAATCTTGGGCTATCTGGAGCCTTTTTCTTGTGGAGCCATCTTGAGCCGTAAAAGACCCTGTGACACCTCGCCTCCCCACCCCCGTCCAGACCCAGGGGAGGGGAAGGGGAGGGGTCAAACTACCTTCCTGGAAGGACGGTCGCCTTGCTCATTCCCAACCGTCCTTCCACATGAGCAGCACTTGAGTCTCAGCATAGGCAGGGGGCGCCATCGAGAATGGGAAAAAGGGGGCGTGGTAGTGGTAACGCGCTAGACCACTCACGCCCTCAAGGGCTGGAGTGATTCAGCATTGACGCTGGTTCATCTGAGGAGAAAACCGCCACGTTTAAGCTTTACCTACACGGCACCCCTTCTGGTGATAAGAAGGTTTGGTGGTAGGGGTGGAAAGAGCCAATTGCTGGCAAATGCGATGCGATGTGTGTGATGGTGCCGATGCTAGTGGCGCGCCCTCGAGTTAGCGACGACGCGCGATGACAATGTTGTGCTGCGGTGTAACGTCACTTTCGCCCCATCTTTCTATCTCACAGCCACTGGCACAGTCAATCCCACTGTCGATCTCACTCTTGATCTCACAATCCATCCCATTCTAGCGACCTTCTTATCGATCCCACCATCGACTCCACTATCAATACCAGGGCGGGACAGGGCAGGCAGCCCTTGCCAGTGGTGCCCCGTGCAGCAGGCGGCGTAGCTATTGGTGCGACGTCCTGTGGCGAGCACATGAGCAGCTAAGACAAGCTGGCGTAGTGCGCAATACCTCCGCACGGCTGTCTTCCGGTTGTCTGCTGGCATGGTCGCCGCATTCTCGTTGGGAAACTCCGCAGCCGTCGCAGACGGCCGCGGCGTGCCTGCCAACCCCTCTGGCCCGCGTCCGCCCAGGACGACGACCTCTCTGCCTAGCGCTCTGTGTTTTTTTTTTTTTGTCAGAACGCACGGGGGGAGGGGCGTAATTTGCATACGGCACAGCCTTCCCGCATAGTAAGGATGGGCAGCCCTCCCAAGGGTACCCTTGCACCCTGGCCTCCTCGGCCCATCCTTGGCCACTCTCGTGGGCCGCGCCCCGCTCGAGGCGCTTCGAGATGGGCGTCCAAGGCCCTTGCATCCTCATCGCGCATTCTTCTGATACGGTTGAGTCGGGCCTGTCCCTTTACAGGGGGGTTTCGACGAAAAATTAAAGATACCCCAAAAATAGTCCAAAAATAGTTTGGGGACTATGCTGTAAGTTTTTTTTTTTTTTTACCTTTTTGGAGTATTTTGGGGGTATTGTTAATTTTTCGTCGAAAATCCGTGCCTCGCGTCCTTGTGATGCGGCTTGCCCGCCGCGGAAACGCCCGGCGCAGGCGGCCTCTGCCCGGGGGGGGACAACCTGGGGACGGCCTGCCCGCCGCGACCCCGACCGCCCTGCGACGGCCCGCCCCTGCCGCGGCTCCCCGGGCGCCGCCCGCTCCTCCCGCTCCTCCTCCTCCTCCTCCTCCTCCTCCTCCTCCTCCTCCTCCTCCTCTCTGGGAGAGAGAGAGAGAGAGAGAGGTGGCCACGGGTGCGTAGAGCAGGGTGAAGAAGCCAGAAGGGCGGCATCGGCGGCCAGCGAAAGGGGGAGGCGATAGGACGAGCAGGTCTTCTCGGAGGGCGGCGGCACTTCTTGGAAGCCCCGGCGCCTTCTGAGAGGTGTTCTGTGCCTCCGGGGAAGGCTTCGAGAGCTTCTCGGGAGGCTGGGGAACTTCCGAGCCTTCTGCGAAGGCCCGCCCTCTCTCACTTCCTCACCCCGGCGCGCCGCCTATACAGCAGCTCCTGTCCATGGCGAGCAGGATTCGCTGTCGGCGTCGCCGTGGGCGCTGCCAGTGTGCAGCAGGAGGTCGCCTGCTCGACGACGCCTGCTGCTGGCCCACTCTGTCCGAGACCGCTTCGGGCGTGACGGTCTTCGGCAGGGGCGGGGCGCCCTCCGACCCCCTCCCCTTGGCGCCCCCCCTGTCCGCTTCCCTCCTCGCGGGGGGGGGGGGGGGGGCGGTCGCGCACGGCCTTCGCGCACGGCCTTCGCGAGGCGTGGGGGCGACCCTCGGGGGCATCCCTGATGGGCCCATTTTCCACCACTACCATAGGTAGAGGAGGAGGAGGGGGAGAGGAGGGGAGGAGGAGGAGGAGGAGGAAGAGGAGGAGGAGGAGGAGGAGGAGGAGGAGGACCTCCTCATCGAGATGGAGGACATCCTCGTCCTCCCTTCATACGGTGGTGTCGGAAAATTTGCCCATCAATCCACCCCTTCACGACGTCCCCCCCCCTCGGCGCCTCTCGCTTCTGGGCCCCCCCCCCCCTCGCGGAAGCGGGGGCGGCAAGCGCAGGCTCCTGCTGGTGGCCGAGCAGGACGTCACGCAGACGCCCTGGGAGGACCACCCGCGCGGGGCCCCGGCCGGCCCCGCGCCCCGCCCCCCCCGGGGCGCCGCCCCGTGGATGGCGCCTTCGGGCGCCTCGGGCGCCTCGGGCGCCCCGAGCGCCCCGAGCGCGTCGTGCGCCCCGGGCGCCTCGGGCGCCCCGGGCGTCTCGGCGCCTCCGGGGCTCGGGCGCCTCGGGCGCCCCGAGCGCCCCGAGCGCCTCGGGCGCCCCGGGCGCCTCGGGCGCCCCGGGCGCCTCGGGCGCCCCGGGCGTCTCGGCGCCTCCGAGGTTGTCGGAGGTGCCCCTGGCCCAAGGTGCCCCCAGCTGTAAGTCGGGCGTGTCCCCCTACAGGAGGAATACTCGAAAAAGAGTAAACGAATAAATGTGGTGACGATGTTTTGAATTGTTGTTTGACGATTGCTGTTTGACAATGATCGGAGCCCCTGGGGGCCCTCTGGGCCTCGTGAGTGGTGCTCTGGAGGTCGCGGGGGCCTCCTTGGGGATCCTCGGGGCACCTTGGGCCAGGAGCATTTCTAGCAACACCCGAGGAGGGGGTCGGGACCTCTTGGGTTTCGGAATGCAAAAACAATAGCGGCGGAGGTCGCGGTCGATGACATCGACGAGGACGACTCGCGATGACCGATGACGCAATCGAGTCCTGACGCTCTGTGCGATGTTGCACGTTCTTGGGCTCCCCCCAGGCCCCCGGGCGGCTCAGGACGAAAAGGTGGTCCAGGGGGGGGGGCCGCCCCTGGGTCCGAGGCCTGTTTTTTTTTATCTGGACCGCGACGGCGAGGATCCGAAGCTGAGCCGGCGTGCACCGCAATGGTCGGAGGTTCGCGCGGACCTCTCAGATCGGCGTTGGGCTCCTCTCCTCGGCATGCCACGGGCGGCGCCCGAGGCGCCGCCGCGGGGTCCATCACCGATCGAGGTTCTCCGTGGCGACGACGACGACGGCGGCGGCGGCGGCAGCGACAGCATCGTCGACGATCACGGTGGCGGCGGCCGCGGCAGTGACGGCGGGGTGGCGGGGGCGGCGGTTTCGCCAGCGGCAGACGCGGCGGCTGAGGCGGCGGCCACAACGCGGGTTTCCTCGGCGGCGACGGCCGTTGCCGCGACGACCAAAGCGACGACTCAGACGACGGTGGCGGCTGCGGCGACGTCGTCGCCCGCGTGTTGATTGGCGTTGCTTAGAGGACTTGGTGAAGCAGTTGGGCCAGAGACCTGTTGTGGCCAGGCGGCCGTTTGACGATGGATGCCCATGGTGTTGCATTGCATTTCACGGTGATTGGGTCATGATAGAAATCGCGCATGGTCGAAACATGTTTTTTTCACAAAGGCACCGCGTATCTTTGCATTATTCTGCCATCTGGTTCAGTTTCAGCATGGCTGGCAGTTGTACTGGTACTTGCGGAACACGAGCGAGCGCTCATGCTGGATGATCGAAATGTGGGTGCATCAGAAGAGCGGGGGAGAATGGGGGAAGACGGACGAAAAGGGGAGGAGAGGGAGGAGGAGCAAAAGGGGAAGTGGGAGGAGGAAACATATGAAGGGCATGGGAGGAGACGGACAAAAAAGGGCAAGGATGAGAGCGAAGAGGGCGAGGCGAAGACGAACCATCGTTTGCCTTGACTTTCTTCATTGTGCGTGGACGGCGACCCCCGACAGCCAGCAGGTTCCGTCGCGACCCACGGCGAGAACTACCAGAGAGAGAGGAGGTGGGCTTGCGTGGGATGGCGCGGGACCAGAAGGTCGGAGGTTGTCATCGGCGGCGTCAAAGGGCCTGTGAGAACGATCTGGTCTTTGCAGGGGTTCTGGTGTTTCGGCTTGCTCATGTACTGTATTGGTGAGAATGATTGGTTTTAGAGTTTTTATGAGTTGGTCGCAGCAACGCAGTCGGTCCCCTTGCCTCGGAGTGCCTTCCAGCAGGTGCTCCTCGTCGGGGGTCTTCTGGGGGGCCCAGGTCGTCACGAATGGCCGCCAGCAGCTGGAGCAACGACACGCAGATCTCCAGGCTTCCAAGAGGGAGGTGAGGAAAAGGTGAGCGACGCAAGAAAACGGGTCGTCTGCGCCGACACTGGCGCGTAAGCTGCCCGCGCAAGCTCGCGCATAAGCGCCCTCGCTTCCAATGCAGCGTGCCGCGCCAGCGGCCCGCGTAAGCTGCAGGTCGCAACGTCGTCTCGCGCAGTACCCGTTTTCGACTGTTGATCTGTTGGTGTGTGTGGATATCATGGACAGGGTCACGAGGGTATCTACGCTCGCGAACATCCCTCGGGCCGTGCTTCGCGAACCCCCTCTCTTCCTGCCGCTCCCCTCCGTCGCACCCGAGAAGGCGATGACTACGAGCGGAGGGGCCGAGGTGGAGGCAGAAGCAGTGGGCACGACGGCCAGCAGCAGTTCCGACTCAGTTTGAGCAGGATTCGTTGTCGGTGTTGTTGTGTCCAGTTGGGGCACAGGTCGCCACCTCGACAGCGGCCGCTGTCGATTTTAGGTACGTTCTATGTTGGGCATCGTCCACATGGAGTCCGCTCCTATTTCGGGCGTGCAGAAGGAGGACGCTGGAACGGACGAAGGCAATGACTATCGAGAGGACGAGGAGAAGGACAACGAGGAGGAGCCTGCCGGTCAGGATGGACTGCAATGGTTTGATGAAGTCGACATGGCGAGTGCTTTGCCCCGTAATTCCCCTGGCCCCCTCCAATGTACCCTCCTCCCCACTCCTTCCTTCACCTGCTTTTTCACGTAATTTCTCTGCCCCCCCTTTCCACCCCCCCATTCTTCTTCTCTCTTCCCTGCCGTTTCCATCCTGCTTTCTTCCCATCTCGCAAGCCTTCCTCTCTCCTGTCTCCTCGGCTCCTTCCATGCATCCTCCTCGAGACGACACGCGCAGTTGTCTTATATCATGTGTCTGACGCAAGCAGGGGGCGTCCAACAAGTACCAGGATTTGATTGACCAAGTACCTCCTGCCAACACAGGTCGGATTGTGACCTCGCCCACCTGTTCATGCGCGAGGTCGTTCGTGGCAGATCAGTTCGTCCAAAATGTTGCTCACGGACATGATCCGGAGTTCCCACCACGGCTCGCATCTTCGAATTTTGCATTTCAATTGCGGCAGGGGCTCGCGCCCCAGAGGCTCCAGCGCCTGACCCCCGGTCGCTGCGACTCAGAGCTGCCCCGCGAAGGCAGATCTGGGCCAGGCAGCCGACGAGGGACAGGCGCGGTGGTGTCGCACACCCCTCCCCCCCGTCTGCTGCCGGGCAAGGCTCGGGCCGAGGAGCTCCTATCCACCGCAAGGGCGCCGCACTGCGCCAGGGACCCGCGCCAGGAGGGCCCTGGAGGCCGGCGTGGGGACTCCGAGGGCCGGCCTTTGCGCGCGGTGGCAGTCTTTGGGCGCCATCGGGTGCCACCCGCAGGGCTCCATCTGGGCCCCGGTAGCCCAGTGTTCGGGCAGCTCGAAGACGGAGTCTTCCTTCGTGCCTGCGCGCCCCCGCTCATCCGGGTCTTGCTCCATGTCCCGCCTTTTGGAGGGGAGTGAGGAGCACCCTGTCCTCTCCTCCTTTCAGGGGAACGTAAGACTCGAGCACGACGGAGCTCGGCTTCGCCTGCGCTTTTTAACGAGCGCGTCCTGGATTTTATCGGTTCCTTTTCGTCGTGGGCTGTCTGCAGCGGGAGCCCGTGTCAAATTTTAGACTGGCCCACGTCATTTTCATGATGGCCCCGTCGGGCCAACACGAGTCCCCCGAACCCGAGTCCTACGTCTCCCCAGCCCTTCCCCCTTCGAGACCTCCTTCGCGTTGTGACGAAAGCGCCGAGACGACGACGACCACCAGTATGACGACGATGGCGTTGTGGGCGACATCGACGTTGGCGTCGACGAAAGCGGCCACGACGACCTCGATAGCCTCTGGCGGCTCGAAGTCGGAGTCCTCCAGAGACCTCCGTGGACCAGTTCCTCCAGTATTGGAGTTTGGAGTGTGCCTTTGTTGAAATAGTATGTAGCATGTAGGAAGATAGAAGCACGCAGCATAGCATGTAAGAGGCACTCGAGTAGCATGCGGTAGCAGGGGAGGGAGGCGACCCCGATGGCGCAGCCTTTTCGGTACAAACGCGTCATGGTAGCGGAGCTTGCCGAGACCACATCCAGCTAGCGCCCCCCAGCGGCGCTGGCTTCCCCTATGCGCTCGTAGCGGCGCCATCGCGGGCAATCCACGGCAGATCGTACAACGGCACAGGGAGGCGAAGCGAAACCCGCCATATAGGCACTTTGGTACAACCGAGCAGCTTGAGGCGCTCTGGAGGGCAAACGCAGGCATCTCAGCGCTTGCCGCGGGCGGCCGAGGATCCCAGGAAAGCGCTTGACATCTCGCAGAGAAAAACCACAACTCGCTGCATGACGAGGGCACCGCGGCAAACCATGAGATGTTCTTCAGCTTGCCCATAGTCGTGAAAGACAGTGCTCCGATGATCGCACGAGGAGGTGAACAACATAACGGTGCAGCAGTTCAGAGGGCCCCGTGCAAAAGGTACCGACCAGCTAACGGCGGCACTAGCCCAGAGTAGCATGACAAGCGTCCGAAGCGTCGAGCTGTTCGCATATGCCCGTGCGGAGTTCGGGGAGGCCCACGCGGAATGGGAACGCGACGTCGCGAGGCATGAGAGGGCCGCAGGCGCAGCGGGTGCGAAGAGGAGCATCTACTTCCAGAAGGCGCGCGAGGATATTCGGGCGATAGTTCGGATGGCGACCGAGGGGGCCTACGGCGAGCGCGCGGCCACCGCCATCCAGCGCCCGACGGCGGCGACGATCTACGACGATGGGTGTCAGAGGCTCCCGCCCCCACCACCTAGACCACCAGGGGGGCCCAATGCCATGGAGGTCGACGCGCAGGCTCGGGCCCGCGGTCTGGGCGGAGGCAGGGGCCACGGCGGCAAGGGCGACGGCGGCGAAGGGGGGCAAGGGCGATGGAGACGAAGGTAGAGAAACAGGAGGAAGGGCAGGTGGGGAGACGAACCAGACGGACAGGCTTCAACTGCGGGGGCAGGGGCCGCTGCGCAAGGGGCTGCTGGCGCCCAGCTCAGGCGGGCGGCGCGGCGGGGCCCGAGGGGCGCGGTCGCGGGGGCCCCAAAGAACGGGCCAGCCGCGGCATTTTTTTAACGAGCTCTCAGCGCAAGTGGATGGCAGGTCGCCGGCGGGCCGCCGGAGAGGTCCATGATCAGCAGCGCGAGGGCCGAGGGTGAGTGGGCCACCGCGCGCGCTGACCGACAATTGCCCCGGCGAGCGCGCGCGCGGCCAGCGCTACTTCCATTGGGAGCCCGCAACGTCCAGCAGGAACCAGGAGTGGGCGGTGGCCGACGGCTCCACGCCGAAGCACAACGGCCAGAATGCGGCGGCATTCTGCGTCGCAGGCAACCGCGAGACCATCCTAGAGTTATTGGTCACGGACGGAAGGCAACCCATCATGGGCGTTTTGCATGTGGCGTGGCAGCAAAATTGGCGCGGCGCGACCGACTTGGGGGGGCACTGCGACACGAAATTGCGTGACTCGTCAAGCTGAAGAAGGCCAACGACCAGTGCGCATTCCTGCGGTGGGCCAGGAACAGGCAGTTCCCGGGCTGCTCGACCGTAGACGGCGCGCTTGCGGCACCAATGCGAGCAGCAGCCGCAGCGGCCAGGAGAGGAGGGTGACGGCCACGCAGTGAAGCGAGCGCTGGCCGATTGACCGCTGGTTCAGGCAGCGGAGGCGCGGCCAGCAACGCATGCGTTGACCGATGCGCCCATGCGCGGACAAGGTGCGACCCCCGACAATCGCACCCATTAGGAACCCGAGGTGGTAGCGCAGGGCATCGCAGGACCACTTGAAACGAGCGCGGAGGAAATTGGGATGCATGAGCTATCGGGTGATCCAGCAGAACCCAGCGCGCGAGGTCTGCGGCCAGGCGAATGCCAATGACGCGGCGCGCAAGAGGCATCGCAGGAGGGGCGCCATCATTCCGTTGATCATCTTCACGCGCGGCCAGGCAGGAGAGGGGCGCGATCCCGCTTACTTCTAGCGCCGCCTGCGGGCGCGCGCGGGCCGCAGCCATCATCGAGAAGGGATCGCGACGACCTTTGTGCGTGAGCGATGCGGCGTCGTGAATGGCTGAGACGGGGCGCCGCGAGTCGCGGCGCACTCGGGAGGGGCAGCGGGGCTGTCGCTCGTCGCGGAGGCGGCGGAGAAGGCGCTGCAGGACGGGGTCTGCCAGGCCACCCTGACGTGGCCGTCGGGGAGGCGCGACTCCCGCGCCGACAGGCGGGTGGAGAGAGCCACCCACATTTCGAGGGCGCAGATGTGGATCCTCATGTTGGCGGCGTCGAGGAGGACGAGATGCAATCGCGCCGCTTCGGGCCCCCCCTTCCTCGCGCGGCCCCCCGCCGCGCAGCCTGGTTCTTCGACGGGCGCGCGTTTGGGGGGGACGCCGACCTCGCGTTCCACGGGAAAGCGCGCGCGCTGAAGCACCGGCGACCGATCGCGACAGGTTGCGAGGCAGTGATCTGCAGACCTGCCCGGGACCCAGGTCAACGATCTGGAGTTTTCGTTGTTGGAGGGCATATGGCCGGGCAGCGATGTCAGGGCCGACGAGCGCGTCGCCCTGAGCGCCCTGGGGCCCGCCCCCAGCTTCGAGGGCAAGGCCGCTGACGCGGAGATCGGTCCAGGAACCGATCATTTCGAGACCCCCCCCCCTGGATGGCAGAGCCCCGCCGCCCGAGGCGGCGGGGGCAGAGGGGGAATCCCGCCAGGATGAGGAACCCGCCAGGGAGGGGATCCCGCCAGGGAATCCCGACAGGGAGCGGGATGCCGCCAGGAGGAGAAACTCCACCAGGAGGGGGAACCGCAGCGGGATGGGCGCACGCGGCAACGCGCGGTCCAGGACCCGCGGCAGCGGCGCCGGGGGGCCCCGCGTCATTCGACGACATGGACGTCGGCGGGGCCAGACTGAAAAGCTGAGCGCTGCAGGCAGGCGTCACCAATGGGCGTGGATCCAACGCCGCCAGCTCAGGCACTCCCGGAACGCTGTCGGCGAGGCGCAGCCCAGCGGGAGGAACAGCAACGGCGAGCAGCTCGGTCTCGCCAGTTCGGGCGTTGGCTAGGGCGGCACCGGCAGCCCGGGCAGCGGCTCCCAAGCGGGAGCGGGACGGAGACGATGGAAGCGGTTGGGTTTGGAGCATGTGGCGGATCGCTGCCATGTGCGCACTCAGCGAGATGCGCGTGGAACCGACGGACCGACGGTGGGGGGCGACGAAATCGCCGCGAATGGAGGCGACTTCCACGAGGAGAGGATGGAGCACCCCGAGAAGATCGCCAGCGACTGCAAGCAGATCGCGAGGCAGAGTGCGATCGTCGAGGCGATCTCCAAGATCTCAGCAGGCAAGTGGCCCGAGACCTGCCGGGCCGATGGCAGCAACAAGAGTGGGCGGACCACGCGGGGATTCGAGCAGCAGACTTATGGCCGGGGAAACTTCGCGCCCCCCACTCCGCCACTACCACGCCTGAAGGCGGTGTTGGTCAACGCGGAGGTGGGGGGCCACGCGGTGGCGCTCGGCGGCTGCTGCGGGGCATTCTACCCGGAGCTCCTGACGGAGGACAGGCTCGCGCTGGAACCGCCGCCCGAAGCAGGAGTGCTAGCAGGTCACGTGTAGGAAGCGCTGCGCTCGCTCCTGGGACTTACGGGGGCGCCCAAGGCACGGGGGGATCGCGGCGCAGTGACGGTGGAACAGACGGGTCTCGATCCAGGGCGCCAGGACAGTTCCGTCTTCAAGGTGGTGCCAGGACGGTTCTGTTCGGATTGGCATCGTGGATAGCTGACTGGCACGACAAGGCGACGCTTGCGTTGGCAAGCGACAGCAGCAGTGCTCTTCACATTGTGAAATCGAGAGGACCAGGTAAGATGAAACACGTCGAAATCTGGCACTTGGCTTTGCAGCAGTGACGCGAGCAAAAGGCCTGGAGTGGAAAGTACCCACACGGACGACAACGAAACACGCCTTCTGACGAAGCCGGCGACCCAGGAGAAGCTCGTGAAGTCCTCCCTCAGCGTAAGCTTAGTAGACGGACCGTTCCGACCACTCAGCGACGACGAATTAGCTGAAGCAGTTCGGACAGCCCGTAGCAGGAAGAGAGGGTTGAGCAAACAGAGTGGCTAAGGAGCACCAGCCATGGGCGGTTCTTGACAACGACAGACTCAAGACTGCCGGTGCCGCCAACATGCCTTACCCAGTCGAGTTCCCCAGACATGCCCTCACCCTCCCTGGTCGCACGGGCCTGGCGGAATCGAGGGCGCGCCGAGGCAAGGTGTAGCAAGTAGGGGGACAGGGGCACGCAGCATAGCATGATAGAGACTGTGGAGTAGCATGCAGTAGCACGGGAGACAGACGAGCCCGATGGCGGAGCCTCTCTGGCACACAAGCATCACATGTCTCAAGGTTCTCCGTTTGTGGGCCACCTATGGTTCAAGGGCCGTCACTCAACGGTTCAGAATACAAAAGTTTGTCCTGCGGTGAGTGGGCCGAGAGTTCCTGCCAAGATGCGGGAGCCCCTGCCAAGACTAGGGGAGCCCCTGTCAAGACCAGGGGAAGAGTTCCGGGGGCCCGCATGGGTCTGCATCCTTGCGACTCGGACCCCCGTCGCCGCATGGTGTCGGCATTGAGAAGGCCCACTCTTGCAAACCAGCGCTCGGGCCTCTGGTTCGACGCCTTGGGCCAGGGCCCCTAGAGGCCCAAAAGCTGACGTCTGTTTTCGCGGTAGGTTCGCGTCGTGCCTTCGCGGCGGCGTCCCTTGAATGACGCGGGCAAGGCCGCGGGCGCTCAAGGTTGAATGCCGCCAACGGTTCGGACTCAGCATAGATGGAACGGTTTGGCGATCGGACAGCCGCCGGACGTTCAAGGTTGAGTGATCCGCGCGGTGTCAAAACCCAGCGCCTGGTCGCCATGACGCGAGTCCGCCGTATTCGGGGTCCACGATAGCTCTTTCCGTTGCGGCCGCTTTTGGAAAACCTTGCAGAGGCGGGCCAGCGGCCTGACCTCCACACTCCACACATGGCTGGCACTCATTGGGCTGCCCTGGGAGGAGGCCTTCGGAATGTGGGTGGAAGACCGTGCCCGTGCCCATTTGGGTCGCGAAAGCCCCCTCGTACAAGAGCCCGAGGGGGTGGTCGCTGTCGGGTCCGCGGCTGCTGGACATCATTCCTAGAATTGGGTCGCACCTGGCACGGCTGATCGCAGCGATCCTCAACTCCCGTGCCCCTCGCATGGTTTCCTTCGCGACACATCGTCGTCGACGAACGCGACGACGACGACGGCGACGACGACGCCGACAACAGCAAAAACGGCGACGACGACGACGACGACGACGACGACGACGACGAAAACGACGACGAAAACGACGACGACGACGACGACGACCACGACCACGACGGCGCCGACGGTGGCGGCGGCGGCGGCGATGACGACGGCGGCGATGACGACGGCGGCCACGGCGGCGGCGGCGCGAACGGCATCGGCACCGCCGGCGGCGACGACGCGTGCATCGGTGGTTTCGCCGCGCCGCGCGGCGCCGCGGCGCGGCGAGGTGGGCGGCCTGTTCGAGGCCGGCATCGCCGGCGTGAGCCGCGGCGCCTCCCTGCTCACGCAGACCGTGGGCCGTGCGGCGCGCGCCCCGCCGCGCCGCGAGACCTCTTCAGGGGAAGAAGGGATCGACAGTCAAGTCGGGCATGCCCCTCTGCAGGAGCATTCCAAAACGTGGTCAAGAGATAGTCTGAGGGCGAGTTGTTCGACGAATTTCGGCAGAGTTTGGGTATCTGTCTTTCCCGTCGTTGAGGTTCCTCCAAAATCCGCCTGCGGGAAGACATGCCCGACCTGAATCTACAGCCTGGGTAGTCGAAGGCCAGACTGTCAGATTGGATTGGGCCCTAAGAGCCAATCTGGCCCGGCCAAACTGGATGATTTGGGTTATTCACCAGACTGGATTCGCGTTGGCTCCCTCGCCAGATTGCCCCCGTTTGCCAGATTGGGCCTGCCAGATTGGCGCCAGATTGGCTTCGACTACCCAGACAGCCAAGTCGCATAGGAAGCATGAGCATCTCTCCCAGGCTACCCGTGCACCCTTGCCACTTCGCCCCTATCGGGGGCCACCTTCGCTGGCCAAACCCCGCTCGAAAACGCCAACAGCGCCTTCCAGGGCCCTTTGCATCCTTGCCGCGCATCCGTATTATGCGACTTGACTGAGCAGGAGGAGGAGGAGGAGGAGGAGGAGGAGGAGGAGGAGAGGAGGAGGGAGAGGAGGAGGAGGAGGAGGAGGGAGGAGGAGGGCGGGAGGAGGAGGAGGAGGAGAGGAGGAGGAGGAGGAGGAGGAGGAGGAGGAGGAGGAGGAGGAGGAGGAGAGGAGGAGGAGGAGGAGGAGGAGGAGGAGGAGGAGGAGGAGGAGGAGGAGGAGGAGGAGGAGGAGGAGGAGGAGGAGGAGGGAGGAGGAGGAGGAGGAGGAGGAGGAGGAGGAGGAGGAGGAGGAGGAGGAGGAGGAGGAGGAGGAGGAGGAGGAGGAGGAGGAGGAGGAGGAGGAGGAGGTGGAGGAGGAGGAGGAGGAAGAGGAGGAGAAGGAGGAGGAGGAGGGCCACTGAGAACCTGGGAGGCGGGGGCCTTCCGTCTCGCGTGGCGCGCTTCTGAAGGAGGGTCGGCGGAGCGGAGGCGCCGAGTGAGGTCACGCGCGTACTTTTTTAGATGTGTTCCGTCCCCATCCCCATCCTCTCGCCCTTCCGACCTGCCCATCCCCATCCTTCGCCCCCTGGTTCCGTCTCCTCCCTCCCTCCTCCTTTCGAGGAGGAAGCGGCACCCATACCGCCACCATTTCCTCGTTTTCGCCCCTCGGCGCCGTCACTGGATTCGCCTCGAAACTCGCGCCAGGACGCACCCTGGGACAGGCCCGTGGAGCAGCGGTATCGGTGTTATTTTGTTACCCGATTGATACAACGTGGAGAACTTCGCGGCGGAGACGGTTGTGCGCAGACTTCCTTGAGATCTTGGTGTCGTAATGTTTCCAAGCTGGGCGTGTTCTCTCGGCGCTGCGTCCTGGGGCCCTCACGGGTCGATTTGGCTCGATGAGTGTCGGGGTTTGGTCATGACTCTCATGATTCCTCAGGGAAGTGTTGCGCCACGTCGGATCTCAGGATGCTGCCCGAGAGATCTGGCGCTTTTCGCCCGCGCAGCCAAAGGTACGCTGCTTGGGATGTCGGTTCGGAGGCACGATCCCGCGATTCGGGCCCCCCTGTTTCGTCCTGGAGAGCTCTCTTCGACACGTTCGGATTCTCTTCGTAATTCCGGTCAGAGTGCGCACCAGCAGAGATCCAGGGAGTAGTTGCATCGGATTTGTGTTGCTTGTCCACCCATCCCAGGTGGGGCCCCAGCCGATGAGGTCGGAGTCAGACGCGCTTGGGATCGGGAGAAATTGTTTCAGAGCTTTCAGAGACGGCCCGACCCGACATTGCTTCCAGAACGCCCGGATCTCAGAGATCAATCCGATCTGCGTTTGTCCGTGGCCTGACTTCGTTTTGCAGGGGATAGCGTCTCCTCGCCGACGCATCGGCGGTCTGGCTTGCAGTTGAGCCCGATTTTCTCCACGCCGACGGCGGCGATCGATCGACAACGTGTCGCCGATGCATCGCTGACGCAACGGCGCGAGGACGGCCCAACTACAGCTTCGCAGAACTCCGCGCGGATTCTCTGGATCGTCGTTTGGACCCCCGCTGGCACCTCCAGCACCGCCCCTGGCGCGCTCCGCGCGTGCGGCGGAGGGGCCCAGCGCCGATCCGAGAAGTCCACATCGGCCTCTGACAGCTCTCACCCGCCCGACGGGTTGGGGCTGCCGGCTGCAAAGAAGATCGATCGAGGGTGGACAGACCTCCTACCCTGACACGTCGATTAAGGAATTGGCCGTTCTCGGTTCGCGAGAGGGCGTCGCGGCCGTCATTTTTGCGGGTCCAGGTCCGTCTGTTTCGGTCCCAGGCCGTTTTCACTAAGGGGAGGTCTACTAAAGGGAGGTTTGTCCACCGCCGAATCGAGAGTGACCTTTCGCCGGAGTGACCACCTCTGGTGCGGGCACGCTGGGGCCCCCCAGGCGATTCCACGCGAGACGGCAGCAGCGTCTTGGTTGCTCGGGCTTGGCTTCCCCCGCGGCTCCCCAGAAAGCCGCGCGCCAGAGGCCGCTGCCCAGGGCCGCTCCTGCGCGCAGGCGAGAAAAAACAGCCGCTGGCCCGCTTCGCACGCCCTGCACGCCGTGGCCGCGGGGCCCGAGCTTCGTGTGCCTGGCAGCCCGCCGCGGGTGTTCCACCGCAGGCCTGCTGCGGCCGCCGGGCCCCCAGGGAGCCTCCAGTGCTGCTCCCTGGGCAGCCCGCCTCGCGTGCTCGGGCTTGGGTCGCTCGTAGCAGGATGGGCCTGTTGTCCACCACCATCATTTGCATGGGGAGGAGGAGGAGGAGGAGGAGGAGGAGGAGGAGGAGGAGGAGGAGGAGGAGGAGGAGGACGAGAGGAGGAGGAGGGAGGAGGAGGAGGACGAAGAGGACGAAGAGGAGGAGGAGGAGGAGGAGGAGGAGGAGGAGGAGGAGCACCCCCTCCCCCTCCAACTTATGGTGGTGGTGGTGGAAAACACGCCTAGCAAAGCAGAGTCACGGTTCGGCTGCATGCCGCGTTGCTCTTGCACGAGGACAATATACCAGGAGGCGATGTGGCCATTGGAAGCAGCTGGGCGGCCGAGTCGTCCGGGGGAGAGACGTTCGGAGCAGCGATGTCAGACGTGCGGGGCACTGTGCGGAGGCGGCCAGTCCGTGTGCCATGTCTCGTGTGGCTGGTTTGGCGGGCCTCGGGGCCGCCGAGGAACGACTCGGAATGAAACGCTGGCCCTGGGAAAGTTTGGCATCGCTCCAGACGTGTGCATCTGTTTCGGTGAGGCCAGCGCAAGGAATCCGGGACCACATTGGGGCATCTCGGATTATCTCGAGCAGACACGCACGCAACCAAACACTGCACGGCGAGGTGATCGTTTTCTTAGTCATTGGTTTGCCGATCGGTGCGGGCCCTCGCACCCCCTCTCGCCCCGATGGAGTAGATCTTGGCTGTTGTGGGCGCCTGTTTCACGCGGGTGGAGTCTCCCCCATGGGGCGCACTGCTTCGAACAGTCGCACTAAGCAGAGGTCTGGAGCCAGACGCCCCCCCCGACCCCCCCCCTTCCTCCCAATGTCGATACGCCGAATCAGAACACGTTCACCGTGGGCCCCGACGCTCAAGGGCAACCGAGGGGCAGCGGTCCTGTGGAGGAAGGGCGAAACCGTGCGGGGACCAGCCGCAGCTTGGAGTCCGCCCTCGCGCCTCCACGGCGCCATCGCTCGGACGTCCATTCCCCGTGCAGCCGTCGGTTTCGTGCGTGCTTGCTTGGTTGCTCAACGGTCCAGGATTCAGGGGCAGCGATAGGGGGGGGATAGGCATAGGGGGGGATGCATCGACCCCAATCGCCCACTGATCGCCGATAGGGGCTCAAGGAGCCCCGACCTGCCCAGGAGGGTGCGGATTCACGATCGGAGGCCCATCGCCGATCTGTCGGCGATGCAGCGCCGATTCCAGGCCGATGCCTCCCCCCCCCCTTTGCCAGCCCCCCCCCCCCCTGTCGCTTCCCCTCAAGGGATGCTCCTCGATGGCGGTCGCCGAGTGGCCGCCCGCGCGGCGGCAGGGAGGGGGTCGAGGGAGGGCCAGGGGCGCACGCCTCGGGCGGGAGCGGGGCGTCGGGTGTCTGGGGCCGCCGCCGCTCGTCGTCGTCGTCGTCGTCGTCGTGGTCGTCGTCGTCGTCGTCGTCGTCGTCGTCGTCGTCGTCGTCGTCGTCGTCGTCGTCGTCGTTAGTCGTCGTCGTCGTCGTTAGTCGTCGTCGTCGTCGTTAGTCGTCGTTGTCGTCGTCGCCGTCGCCGTCGTCGCCGTCGTCGTCGTCGTCGTCGTCGTCGTCGTCGTCGTCGTCTTCGCCGTCTTCTGTGGAGGCCCGCGGCCCCGTCGGGGCCTTCAGGGAGTTCCCCCCGTGGCAGTGCGCCTCGACGTCCAGAGAAATCGTGGCACATCGGGCTGGATCAGGTACATCCAGGGATCTCCAAGGACATCTGGAGGCAATGGGGGACGCTGCCCGAGTCGAGAGAGCACAGGAGTCCCTATGCACTTTACAGACCCGCCGTCGGTGGTGCCTGATCCGGACACCCACTGGAGTCGGGCCCTCAGGAGGGGGCGGGGAGGGGGGAGGGAGGAGGAGGGGCGGAGAGGAGAGGCTTCGCTCCCCTCGGGCGAGGCAGAGTCTGGCTGAGGCCTGCCAGAGGTTCTTGGCCGAGGGCGCCCAGCTCTGCGCGCCCGTTTGTCAGGAGGAAGAAAAACACACAGACACAATGAATCTTCGATTCCCCAGAAAATATGGGAAAATGTGGGGAGTGGGGGGGGAAGACAAAAACCCAAAGGATATGGGAAAATATAGGGAATCTTTTTATTTGTGTGTATTTATTTGTGTGTCCTGGGGCCCCTTCATTGGCCGAGGGTGCCCTGCTCTGCGCGCCCGTCTGGCACCTCTGGTCCCTGTGGACCTCGCGAGGGGTGCTCTGCGGGTCTGCGGGCCTCGCCAGAAGTCTCTGGGGCACCTGGCGCCAGGGGCATCCCCAAACTCCTCCTCCTCCTCCTCCTCCTCCTCCTCCTCCAGCGAGGAGACCCCGCCCCGACCCCCCAGAGGAGGGGGCGACCGAGAAAGACGTGGCGTTCTGAGATTCGCGCGCACGCTGCCTGGGCAAGATGGGGTGAGGAGGTCCCTCGCGCAGCTGTGGCAAGATTCAGCGCAACCCATCGCAGCCTGGCACGCGACCGTCACTCGGTTATTGCGATGCCCGTTGAGGCTTTTTGTTTGTGTCCATGTGCGTGCTTATACTCAGCTTCTCTCGCTCTCTCTCTCACTCTCTATCTTCCTCTCTCTCTCTCTCTCTCTCTCTCACTAAGCAAGCATGGGCAGTTGCTGAGCTGCGAAACAGTCCTGCTGCCCTGAAGGTTTGTTTACTGCAGGGCTTCGCTCGAGTGGGATACTTCTTGCGAGGGTGGCTCTCCTGCCGTCTACCTCAGGCGACACTCAGATCGGATGGGCCCCGACGTGACTTGGCCTCGTCGGGCGGGGACTGCTTCCGGGTGGATCGTTCCAGAGCGTTCCGGAGCTCTCTCCGAGCGTGCCAGGGCGCTCTGCAGCCGCCGCGGCGCCCGATGCGTTCTCCAGAGCCGCCGGATCTCAGAGATCCCTGGGTTTGCTGCAAGTCCGACACTGAGGCCGACGCAGTGAGCAAGAATGCACAGCGCGACAAGTCACGACCGGAGCCTCGGGCCCCACCTCCCCGCAACCGTTGTCCGAGCGGGATTGATCTGTGAGAGCCTGGGGGCCCGAGATCGGGCGAGAGCGGCCGGCTCGAACCAGTTTAGATGCTGCCAGGATCTCAGGCGGATGTTGTCCCGTCCTGGCTTGGCCTTCCCTCTCCCGGTTCCCCTGCTGGAGGCAACTTTATCATCCCTTGGCGACAACGGGCGTGACGAGGGGGAAGGGCGGGAAAGGGGTCGGTCGCGTCACGCTTCGCGCAGGCGCCGCCCGGGAATGCCTGGGAGATGTCCATTCCCAGGCGGTGGCGCCGCGAATCGTGACGTGACCAGGGGGCGGGAGTGAGGAGGACGGGCTGGGCCGGTCACGATCGTTCTCGCGAATCATACAACAATTCGACCAAATAAACCAACGACCCCCCCCCCTACGGCCCTCGATGTTGCGCTACGGCCCGTCGGGGGCCGTAGCGCATATCATGCGAAAACCTAAGCCAGATATCCTGGTATACTCTGAGCCACGTGGGGCCGTATGGCAGGTTTGCGTCGTGTCGACTCGCCGCGGGCGTTCATCGTTGAACGCCGCCCGTGGCCCAGAATCGACCCGTCGTTTGGCGTTCACGGAACGTCCGATCCTTCAAGTTTGAACGATCTTCGCGGAGTCAAGAACCAACGCCAGGGTCGACACGACGCGGATTTGTCGTAGGTGGGGTGGTGTCGTTTGTTCTCTGGTCCCAAAGATGGGCTCCCGCTGCCGCGATGCGATCCCCTGCTATACTCTCAGCCCCGTGGGGCCGTAGGAGGAGGAGGCGGAGGAGGAGGAGGAGGAGGAGGAGGAGCAGGGGAGGAGGAGGAGGAGGAGGAGGAGCAGCAGGGGGAGGAGGAGGGGGACGAGGAGGAGGAGGAGGAGGAGGAGAAGGAGGAAGAGAGGAGGAGGAGGAGGAGGAGGAGGAGGAGGAGGAGGAGAGGAGGAGCAGGAGGAGGAGGAGGAGGAGGAGGGAGGAGGAGGAGGAGGTGGGGTGGTGTCGTCTGTGCCCTGGTCCCAACAGAAATGGGCGCCCGCCCGCTGCCGCGAGGCGATCTCCGTGGTCCCCGGGGTGCCCGGGCGCGGCGGCGCCTCGCCAGGATCCAGCGGTCGCCCCCGTCCCCCGAGCGGTGCCAGGGCGAGGAGGAATCAGTTCCAGAGCGCTCGGAGAAGGAGGAAGAGGAGGAGGAGGGAGGAGGAGGCGGAGCCAGGAGGAGGAGGAGGAGGAGGAGCCAGGAGGAGGAGGAGGAGGAGGAGGAGGAGGAGGAGGTGGAGGAGGAGGAGGAGGAGGAGGAGGAGGAGGAGTGGGAGGCGGAGCCAGGAGGAGGAGGAGGAGGAGGAGGAGGAGGAGGAGGAGGAGGAGGAGTGGGAGGCGGAGCCAGGAGGAGGAGGAGGAGGAGGAGGAGGAGGAGGAGGAGGAGGAGGAGGATATCGATATCGCAGGCCTCGGAGGTCGAGGGTCGGGCGCCCGCCCAGCCCCCTCAGGGCATGGGCACGACCTGGCCGACCGGCCTCAGGAACTCGAACTCCGCCTCGAGCTCCCTGCAGCCATGGCGACGAGCTGCTTGAAGTCTATCAGAGCCCCGAATCATCCGGGGTAACTCGGGTCAGGGATAACTCGGGTTCCTTTTTCGGGAATCCAAGCCCGAGTTACCCCGGACCCGAGTTACCCCGGATAACTCGGGCGTCCAGAGCCCCAGAATCATCAGGGGTAACTCGGGTCAGGGATAATTCGGGTTCGTTTTTCGGGAATCCAAACCCGAGTTACCCCGGACCCGAGTTACCCCGGATAACTCGGGCGCCCAAGTCTAGCATCCTGGAGTTCGTGCCGCTCTCCCCCTCGGCCTGCGACCTGGGACACCTCCAGGTGCTGCTCGGGCCAGACCGCCCGCGTTCTCCCCGACGAACGACGAACTGCTTGGCGTCCAGCTCCCTCTCCTTCACGTGGCTGCTCCGCGCCTCCACGTGCTGCGAGTGTGCCGCCAGGCAGTACTCTATCACGTGGTCGCGCAGCGAGTACACCTCCAGGCAGTTCTCTGTCGCGTCCTTGTTGTCCATGTACAGATTGAGAATCCACTGGGGGTCGCAGGTACCCAGCATCATCCGCGCTGCTGTCTCTGACCCTGGGCGAACCACTCTGCTCGTTGGGAGAAGGGCTGAGGTAGCTGGGCCTTCGCTTCACGCCAACTGGACCTCCCTCTCCACCATCAAACTGTAGAGGATCGTGACCACCAGCATACTCATGAGGGTTCGCCTGCTCTCCTCGGAGTGCGCACACTCCTCGTCGGTGCTGGTCCCGTCCTGGTGTGCACGGCAGGGCAGCCGCTCCCTGCTGCACCCGCGGTGGGGGCAGCGGAGGCTGAATGTCCTGCGTCCCCCCGCGCCTTCCTGCCCCCTCGGCTGGAGGCGCGCCTCGCCGAGGTAGGCGTGCACGTGGAAGCCCCCTGCCAGAGGGAGCGGATCCGGTTGCGCCTTCCTGCCCCCGCGGCTGGAGGCGCGCCTCGCCGAGGTAGGCGTGCACGTGGAAGCCCCCTGCCAGAGGGAGCGGATCCGGTTGCAGAGGAAGGCGTGCTCCTAGGAGAGGGGGCGTCATGAAGGGCAGCATCCGCCAGCCCACCCTCCTCTGCCGTCGTCACTCCTTGGCAGAGTGGCTCCCTGACGGCGGAGTGGTTCTCTGAGATGATGTCCTGGTGATCCTGCTCCACCGTGGCCGTAGCATCGACCGCGTCGGTCATCATCTCGACGTCGTGGGAGAGGCTCTCTGCGATGATGTCGTGGTGATCCGTGTCCACAGTGGCCTTGGCATCGACCTCAGTTGCCCTCACCACCGCGTCAGTGTGGTCGTGGTGGTTCATCTGGTCACCTGGCTCGCTTGCTTCACTCATCTGCACGGCTTGAGACCCAACACGCGGCGCCATGGCTTGGTGAATCAAGCCGCCACGACGCATCGCATTTCCCAGCATGGTGCTCTTCTCCTCCTTGGCTTCACGAAAGCGCATCTCCTTATCACGAAGACTTTGATGCAGCACTGCCATCCTCTGCTCGTAGATGCTGGGGCTTTCTATTTCGGAGATGCTGTTCTTGATGATGTCGACCTTGGTGTACATCGTGCTGGCGAGTGCGCCCGTGCAAAGCTTGCCCAGGGGGGTGGTCGCGTCGATGTATCGCCCGAGCTGCTTGTGGGGTCCGATGCCTTTCTTCAGGTTGCTCAGAGCCTCCAAGCCCTTTGTGGTGGCGGCCGTGCATGGTAGGCGAAGCTTCAATCGTCGGCGGTGCTGTGCCCAGGCTCCGCACCTGACGCAGATGAAGACTGATTTGGCGATCTCATTTGTGTCTAGAGTGCCACGCTGGTTGACGGCGACCATTCTGTGATCTTGCGGGCTCTGCATGCACTCCGTCAGGAAGCCTGGGGCGCCAGAGGAGGAGGAGGAGGTGGAGGAGAAGGTGGGAGGAGGGAGGAGGGAGGAGGAGGGAGGAGGAGGTGGAGGAGGAGGAGGGAGGAGGAGGAGGAGGAGGAGGAGGGAGGAGGAGCTGGAGGAGGGTGGAGGAAGAAGGACCCCCCGGCCTCCCCCTCCTCCTCTTCTGGAACGCTCTCAGGGCGTCCCAGAAACGCGGAGAGGACCGCGACGCCCGAGACGTCCTCCAGAGCAGCAGGATCTCAGAGATTCTCACGGCACAGTCGACCCGCACCTTAAGGATGGGCAACCTTCCCAAGGACACCCTTGCCTCCTCGCCTCCTCGGCCTTCCCTTGGCCAATCTCGTGGGCCGCGCCCCCCTCGGGAGGCGTCGCAATGGGCGTCCAAGGCCCTTGCATCCTCATCGCGCATTCTTCTGATACGGTTGAGTCGGGCCTGTCCCTTTACAGGGGGGTTTTCGACGAAAAATTAAAGATATCCCAAAAATAGGCCAAAACATAGTTTGGGGACTATGTTGTAAGTATTGTTTTACCTTTTTGGAGTATTTTGGGGGTATTGTTAATTTTTCGTCGAAAATCCCCCTGTAAGGGGACACGCCCGACATAATGATACGGGTCGACTGCATCCTCACTCGATGTTCGCCTCGTCCTGGCTTCGTCTTGCCCGCATCGCCGAAGTCGCCGATGCATCGTCGGCTCGGAGGCGGCCAAGCGGGGGGTGAGGACAAGGGACCAGGGGGGGGTCACGGCGGGGGCCATGAGATCTCCCCAGATTTCATGGCGCCTCTCCTGATTTCAATGCGTCCCTGCCCGTCCCCCCCCGGGGCCGCGCACATGCCGCCGGCCACGATTTGCGCCCCCGCCACTCTAGGACGCCCCCCTCCTTGGACGCCGCCGATGTGTGCAGTCTGGGCGTTTTTTTTGATCTCTCAGCGTCGGGGGTCCGTTCTCGGGCCCAGACAAGTCGATGATGGACGGTCTGGGTCAGGAGGGAAGAAAACACAGACACAATGAATCGTCGATTCCCCAGAAAATATGGGAACATATGGGAAGTGGGGGTATGGGAAAACATATGGGGAATCCTGTTATTTGTGTGTGTGTCTGTATTTGTGTGTCCCAGGGCCCCTTCAGGTCTGGGGTCGTTTGTGTTCCCCCCTTCCTCGGGGGGGGGAGGGCGGCTGGGGCGCCCGCGTCGCCATGGCGGAGAGTTTGGCAGAGGTGCGTCCCAAGAGGGGTCCCCGACGTCGGCGGAGTGGGAGGGCGAAGCGGGAGGCGGGAGGAGCGAGGGAGGAGGAGAATCAGGAGAAGAAAGGGTTTGGAGGAGGAGGAGGAGGAGGAGGAGGACGAGTTCTGGAGGCGATGGCTGCTTGCCCAAGGAAGGAGGATGAGTTTAGGGGCAGCGATAGGGGCGGATAGGCATAGGGGGGACGCATCAACCCCCAACTCGCCAATTGATCGCCGATAGGGGCCCGATAGCCCCGACTTGCTTAGGAATGTGCGGATTCACTATCGGGGTGCTATCGCCGATGTATCGGCGATGTGTCGCCGATTCCAGGTCGATGTTCCCCCATGATGCCAGTCCCCCCCCATCGTTGTCCTTCAGAAGTGGGAGGCGCCGGGGGTGGCTCGTGAAGATGCGTCGTGGGCTGCTGGCTTGTTCCATGCATCGCGTCTGGAATCTCTCTTTCCGAGGGGCCTGGACGCCCAGCTGTTGTGGCAGGTCTTCAGGAGGAGATGACGGGGAAGCGGATGAGAAGGGGATGAGGACGAGGATGAGGATAAGGACGAGGATGATGGTGTCGATGATGGGAATGAGGAGGATGAGGGCGGTGATGTTGTTGTTGATGTTGATGATGATGCTGATGATGATGATGCTGCTGCTGCTGATGCTGATGATGATGATGATGATCTTCATGATCATGATCATGATCATGATGATGATCATGATCATGTCGATAGCGATGTCTGTCACGGTAATATTGGGCCGAGCGAAAGGGGGGGATAGGGAAAGGAGGGGTTGCGAAATTTGCCGCATGCAACTGCTCTCGGCCCCGCCGTTGGGCCCAATCCTCGATACATGGGCGCCTCCCGGCGCCGGGAGGGGCCGGGAAGATCAGCTACGTAAGTTGATTCTCACCTTCACTTTTGTTATTCCCCCTTTTTCGCCTGGCCCGATAATAGGAGATGACGGCGACGATGATGATGTTGATGGCGATTATGATGAGTATGATGATGACGCATTTGTGACGGCCACGACGACCATGATTGTGTGATATTTCCAGATTAGCAGGAGGAAGACGGGGAGGTGGGGGGGGCAGATGTTGAAGATGACGATCATGATCATGATGAGGAGGAGGCGAATGAGGAGGAGGAGAAGAGAGGGAGGGGAGCGGAGAGAGAGGCGGGAGGAGGTGGAGGGAGGAGGAGGAGGAGGAGGAGGAGGAGCGGGTAGAGGATCATCGAAGACGCCATCAGCAAGTCACCGCCTCCCCCTACCTTTTGGAAGCGCGTGTTCCCCCAGCCGTTAGATCAATCACCGGGGCAGCGCTGGAGAAGGTCTGGGGCATTCTTGGGGCTGTGTTTGAACTCTTTTCAGGCCTTTGGGCCCTCTTGGGCCATTGTGAGGCTCTCTTGGGCTGTCGCACGTTGGGGCACTCTTGACCCTCTCGGCTCTCTCGTGGGCCGTCTTGGGCCATACTTTGGGTCCCCACTGTGGGCACTTGGGACCGTCTTGGGTTGGCCTGCGGGGCCTCGTCGGGCCGTCTTGGACGCCCTTCGGAGCGAAGCGGCTGTAATTTTTGAGGCGGAGGCCTCCTGTGGGGGGCTCTTCGTGGCGGTCTGCGGGATGCCTCCGCGGGGGGGTGGCCTCTCCGAGGGGTCTCTTCGGGGCGCCTCCTGGAGGCTCTCGAGGACCCGCGCTCGCCGCCGCGGCCAACGCACCGCCCCCGCCGCTGCCCGTCGCCGCTGGCGGCCACCGCTTGGCCAAAGATGCCCACCGCCCCAGCGGCCGGCACCGAGCAGCCCCAGCTGCAGGCCAGAGCGGTATGCAGAGGCGCTCGCCTGCGGAGCGCCGCCGGTGCGACGCCCTGGAGCTGCTCGAGGCATCCAGGGCCCCGGTGCGCACGGCACGAGGCGCCCGCCGGGGCCTCACGCACCAGTGCGACTCCAAGCCGACGCCAGGTGGGCTCCGCCCACCTGGGCACGGCGCCCCGGCGCTACGGGCGCGGCTTCCTGCTGCGTCACGCTCGGCCAGCGCGAGTCGGACAAGACGAGGGATGAGAGCGATTTTCCAAGGGCACCCGTTCGGCGAGGCTCCCGGGCGAGGGCGTGTCGTGCCCCACTATTGGCTGTTCGCCTGTTCGACGCCAGGTGGGTTCACGCCTGCCCCCGGAGCAGCCCTTGAGGCCGATCTGTCTGAGGAGGACCTCCCGCCTTCGCCCGTTGCACCGCTGTCGTGCCACCGCGGGGGGCGACGAGGTCGGTGCACATCCACTGCTCCCTGGCCAGGCCCAGCCTGGATCCGGAGCTGTGCACACGCTCTCCTGGCAGAGCCAGGAGAGCGTGGCGCATGCACCGCTGCTGGACTCGGGGGGGGGGGGCTGGCCAGGGAGCAGTGGGTGTGCATAGACGTCGCCGCCCACATGAAAGGGGGGGGGAGAACGGTGCACCTCTTGGAGCTTTCTTGGGGTCCTCTTGGGCCGTCTCGGCGCTATCTCGGGCGTCGTGGGGCGACACTCGACTCGTGGCCGGCGTCTTGAGTTGTCTTGGGTCCTTCATGCTTGTGGAAAAGTTACGCTGGAGCCCACCGCAATTCCCGCAACTCGGGGCTGTGGGCCCGATTCGGGCGTTGCGCAGTCGGGGGCGAGAAATGAGGGGACAGGTATACTTCTAGTGCTCGAAAGGGGGTCCTACAGGGAGCCCCTGGGGCCCAAAAGGGGAGCGAAAGGTCCACGTGTCTCACCCACGCTGTAGCGCCCCCATTCAGCAGCGCTCCATCGCTTGCGGCAGAGCGTTAGGCGGGAAGGAAACAACGGTATCAATAACACTTTCCCGCTTCGTTCTTGTCCGAAGACCCGGTGCTCCTTCAGCAGGCAGCAACACGCTTATGAGTTCCCCACGGCCGCGTGTCATTGGTTTGCCCACCGAAGATGAGCATAATCATAAACGATCGAAGGTCCGCGCGGATTTCTTCGATCGTCGTTGGAATCCTTTGGCGGCTCCTCCGGCGCCACCCCTTGCGCGCTGCGCGCACCAGAAAGGGCCGTTCAGCGCCGATCCCAAAAGTCGCCGCCTCCAAAAGCGGATGCTTGTGGCAACGCTGGCGCGCATCTCGCCCCACAATCGCGCTTTGTGGCCCGCGATGCGCGACGTTCGATGACCCAGTGTATTTTCGGGGGGCTAATGCGGGAGTCAGAGGCCGAGACCGAGGGCGAATGCGCGTACCTGTGAAGTTGATGCTCACCCTCGACCTCCTCCTTCCGAACATTTCGCGCACCAGGTGCCGCCGCGGCCTCGACGGCGGCCGCGACGGCGGCCGCCGTTGCGGCCGCGACGGCGACGGCCGCTGCGCGACATGTGCCTTCTGGGAGACGATGGAAGCGGAAGTCGAGGCCACGTCACGTGTGTCCATGCCCCCGCCGGCGGGATTGTTCCACGGCCTGGGGCCCCCAGAGGTCTGGATTTCAGGGCCCCTTCTGGGGGATCAGCTTTTCACCCCGAGTCGTGCAACTGACAGTCCCGAGCCCGATGAGGGAACCCCAGCGGCCAAAGCCAGGCGAAACCTCCTGTCGTCATTGTGGGCACGACTCGAGGGGTCTGGGTCCCAGAGGTGACTTTCACCTCGGGCCATTCATGCGAGCAGTTGTTCTCTGCTGCCTCGGTGGTCCCTGCGGGGGGCCATGGCATCCGCCGGTCTGTGTTGTTGAACCCGCTGCCGGCCGCCAGTGCGGCCGCGTTGGCGGCAGCCGCTGAATCCGTTTTTGATGGCGCTGGGGCCCGATAGAGGGCCTTGGAGCTGACATGTTGGAAAAGCGCAGACAGTGAAGACATCACATCGCATGGGAAGTCGGGGAGCGGCGGGGCGCAGCGCGAGGCACCTGCAAAAACCAGGGGTCGCACTGGCAGTCCCTTGTGATATGCAGTGCATCGGCTTGGGCAACTGCGAGCGTGAGCACGACACATCATACTTCAGGAGGGGAACGCATTCACAAACACAAACACAAATACAAACACAAACACACACACACACACACACACACACACACACACACGCACGCACGCACGCACGCACGCACGCACGCACGTACACGCACGCACGCACGCACGCACGCACACGCACGCACGCACACGCACGCACGCACGCACGCACGCACAATGAATCGTCGATTCCCAGGAAATGGGGAAACTATGGACAGTGTGGGGGTGGGGGAGAGAAAACGAGGAGGATGGGGAGGAGAAGGGGGAGGTGGAGAAAAAGGAGGAGGAAAAGGAGGAGGAGGAGGAGGAGGAGCAAAAGGAGGGGGAGGAGGAGCAAAAGGAGGGGGAGGAGGGGGGGAGGAGGGGGGGAAGGAGGATGGAGGATGAGTAGGTTGCCGCCCCTCTCTGTTCTGCTCAGATCGCTATGATCAATCGGTTCGTACCGCGCATAATCGTAGATCTTGCGGGCTCACCTTCTTTTGCCTCACCTCCTGGTCCTGTCCTTTGCTGAGCTGCGCCAGCCGGGCCTGATTGGCTGCTGCGGGCCCGAGCGGGCCTTTGATTGTTTCCTCCTCCTCCTCCTTCCTCCTCCTCCTGCTCCTCCTCCTCCTCCGTGAGCCTCCTCTCTCGTGGGTGAGCCCCCTCTCTCGTGGGTGGGTGCCTGCCTGAACTTGCGTCCTCCTCCTCCTCCTCCTCCTCCTCCTCCGCCTCCTCCTCCTCTTCCTCCTCCTCCTCCTCCTCCTCCTCCTCCTCCTCCTCCGTCCCTTCCTTCACGCAGCGTCGGCAAAAAGGAGGGCGAGGCTGCCGCGCCCCGCCCCAGGAGGCGGGCCCGGCACCGGCGAGGCGCCGGCGGAGGGCCAGCACCGGCTGCTGGCGGAGGCGCGCCGCGCGGCGGCCCGCCCGGCGGAGCCTTCGGCGAGCAGTCGGGGACGCAGCGAGTCGAAGACGACGACAACGACGACGACGACGACGACGGCGACGGCGACGAGGATGACGACGCCGACGACGACGACGACGACAACGGCGACAACGGCGACAACGGCGACAACGACGACGACGACGACGACGACGACGACGACGACGACGGCGACAACGGCGACGACGACGACGACGACGACGACGGCGACGACGACGACGACGACGACGACGAGGACGACGACGACGACGACGACGACGACGACAATCCCCCCCTGTCGGAGCCGTCGGCGCCCCAGCCAGCGGGGGAGACAGGGAGACGGGGCCGCTGCGCGGACGAGTCAGGCGCAGGCCCGGGCCTCTGGCAGATCTGGCCTTCCAACCCGTGGGGTCCTGCTCCCGCGGAAGCCCTCAGATCCTGGCATCTTGATTTTGCTTCTAGGGTAGGGCTTCGAGGTTCGGGTTTCGCCTTCGGGGGGCTTCTGATCGCCCTGGGGCGCCTTTGGTGGCCACGACTGGGCCCGCCTCGAAGTTCTGGGCAGAAGATCCGAGGAGAGGTCCAGGGGCAGATTTGTTACCTCGGCCACGGGAGCGGGCTGGATGCAGGCTGCGACCCCGGCATCTCAGTTTGTCGAGCCGGGCGCTTTCGCCCGGACCTCCAGCGCGGCGCGCTCGCCGCTCCCGCATTCGCGGACGTTTTCCTGAACCCCCAGATATCCGACGGTATGACGTGTTCAATGCGGGCGTTTCCTTCGCTTTCGGCTCTGGTGCGGATGCTTTCCTGAATCCCCAGATCTCCGACGGTGTGATGTGTCCAATGCGGGCGTTTTCCTCGCTCTCGGCTCTGGTGCCCGCTGTCGGGCCCAAGGGCCATCACAAGGGGGCCCGGGGCGAAACGCTGCCCCGAGGGGGTCGGGGCTTCCTTGCGGCCGCGCGCGGCAGACAGCACACACAGCCAGACGTCCTGGCTCTCGTCGAGCCCAGCGTCCCGCACGCTCGGGGAGACGTGACCGGTCATGGCTGGAAGGTTTCTCCTAAGGGCTTAGGCGACCCGTCGTTCTCCTCCCTCCTCCTCCTCCTCCTCCTCCTCCTCCTCCCTCCTCCTCCTCCTCCTCCTCCTCCTCCTCCTCATCATCATCATCATCATCATCACCATCATCATCATCATCATCATCATCATCATCATCATCATCATCATCATCATCATCATCATCATCATCCTCATCCTCATCCTCATCCTCATCCTCATCCTCATCCTCATCCTCATCCTCATCCGCCTCCTCATCCTCCTCCTCATCCTCCTCCTCCTCTTCCTCCTCCTCCTCCTCTTTCTCCTTCTCCTCCTCACCTGCTCCACCCACCTGCTCCACCCAGCCACGCGCAAGAGGGTCGGCGGCAAGCGATGGGGGGGAGTGAGCAGAGGCGGGCCTCCTCCAAAGGCTTAGAAGCCCCCCAGCCTTCGGAGAAGCTTTCTCGGCCTTTCGCGCAGGGCGGGTTCGAACCTCACTATTAGGGGGCCACGTGCCAACCCTACCCCACCTCCCCCTCAGAAGTCGCGGGGGGCAGGGGTTGGGTTCGCATGTGGCCCCCTGACTATACATCGTTTGGCTGTCGTTCTCGCCCCCCCGCGGCGCAGCGCCCTGCGAGAGGGCACCGGGGCTCTCCCCGGACGGCCGCTGCGGGCTCGGCCGCCGCAGGCTCGCCGCGCGGGCAACGCCCCCCCCCCCCCCCCCGGGAGACCCTGCGCGCCCAGAGGGGGGGGGGGGGCAGAGTCCGCCCGCAGTGGCCTGACGTGGGCACGGCGCCTCGGCGCTATGGGCGCGGCTTCCTGCTGTGTCACGCTCGGCCAGCGCGAGTCGAACAGCATGAGGGATGAGCGGCTTTCCAAGAGGGGCGCCCGTTCGGCAAGGCTCCCGGGCGAGGGGGCGTCGTGCCCGTCTGTTGGCTCTTCGCCTCTGTCGTCGCCGCCGATCCCCCTCTCCCTCCCCGCAAGTGCGGGCTGCGCACAGTCAACCCGCGCAGGAAGGATGGGCAACCTTCCCAAGCTCACCCTTGGCATCTTTGCCTCCTCGGTCCATCCTCGGCCACTTTCATTGGCCGCGCCCCGCTCGAGAAGCTGCGAGGTGGGCGTCCCAGGCCTTGGCGCTCTTATCCCGCACCCTTGCTTTGTTGTTTGACTGTAGGGGGAGCTGCTTAGCAGCGCCCCTTCTTCTGGGAAGACGCGGGCTTTTTCCTGTAGATGTGAGGCCCGCCCCTTCGAAGAAGCAGGGGTGCTTCTGAGAAGCCGCCCCCCCTCCCCCATGCCCCCCCCTTCTGCGCGCCGCCAGCAGATGGGGGGCAGAGGGTATATCAGCCACGCGCTGAGACACCCACAGAGGGCCCCGAGGCGGGCGGCGCCGCCCGAGAAGGCCCACGAGGCCCCCAGGGCGGCCCGGGAAAACTCCTTTCACTGGGCAGTCGAGGGCCAGACTGTCGGATTGGATGGGGCCCCAAGGGCCAATCTGGCCCGGCCAAACTGGATGATTTGGGTCATTCGCCAGACTGGATTCGCGTTGGCTCCCTCGCCAGATTGCCCCCGTTTGCCAGATTGGGCCTGCCAGATTGGCGCCCGATTGGCTTCGACTACCCAGTTCTACACACCCAGCGAACGCCCCCAGAGGACCCCCCCTCCCCCCCCCCCTTGGGACGGCCCAGTGACGGGCGCCGCTTTGGGCGCCGAGGCTCCCAAAAGAGCGCCAGTGGACCAGAGAGCTTTTTTTTTTCGCACGCGGCGGCGGCGCAGGCCCGGCCAGGCGCAGAGGGGGGAGGGGGGGGGGGAGGGAGGGGAGGCTTCGTAGGGCGTAGCTTCCTTGTATTCAAGGGGAGCAGCCTTCTTGTATTCAGGAGGGGGCAGCCTTCTTGTATTCAGAGGGGGGGAGGGGAGTAGCCGTCTTTGTATTCAAGGGCGTGTGTGTATATATATATATATATATTAATCTATTTATATATATATATACATATATATATATATTTAGATATAAACAAAAACGCCCCTTTACCCTGGTTTACGAGGCGCTGTGCGCTGAACCTCCTGTGGGCTGACAGGGTAAAACCCTGCAGATCGCGTGTGCCGCGCGGCGTCCTGGCGGCTCTATGGCCTTTGGGAGCTCTCTGGGGGAGGTTTCGTGGGAGTAGCCGCCTTCTATTCAGGCGATCGCAGACATGGATCAATGGGGCGTGGATTAGCGACGGGTCCCGTTTCCATGGGAAATCGCGGATCCGCATTTGGGGGGGAGGGCACCTCCCCCGATCCATGGATTTGGCGACCCCGCGCCAAATCCATGGATCGTTAATCAATGTTTGCGCGCCCGCGATCGAAGAACCAGTCCCCCTTCCCCTTACCCTTCGGTCGGGCATGTCCTTTTACAGGAGGAATGTTCAAACGTTGACAACAAATAGTCATGGGACGATGTTTGGAGTATGTGTTGATTACGTTTGGGGTATTGTTTGCGTAGGGGGACATGCCCGACCTAACCCTACCCCGTCGTACGCGCCGCCATATATCGATTCGGTTCGAAGAAAATACAACAACAACAACAACAACAATAACAACAACACCAACAACAACAACAACAACAACAACAACAGCAACAGCAACAGCAACAGCAACAACAACAACAACAAAAAACTACAGGGTTGAAGGCCTCTGTTCGCAATTTTTCGCAATGCCGCATTTTTCGCAACGTCCGATCTTAGAGTACACCGATCTCGGACCCAGGAGCCAGTCCAGGCTCGATGCAGGTGTACGGTAGGTTTGCGTCGTGTCGACTGACGACGACCCCATCGTTGGCGTTCAACGTTGAACGCCGCCGGCGACCCAGAGTCGATCGATGTTGAATGATCTGACGTTTCGGAAGCGGCCGATCATTCAAGACAGAAAGACTCCCGCGGTGTCAGAAACCGTCGCCGAAGTCTGTTTGACACGAACCTGCCTTCGGTGTACTCTCGCCGTTGGCCGTCTCTGCCCAGCCCAATAACCTCCAGTGCTGGGTCCCGGTGCTGCCCCCCTGGGCGCTCCAAATGAGTGGCGAGGGCCCGAGTCGACCACGCTGCCATCTTGCGCGACCTCGCCCAGGCCGGGCAGGTGGAACTCTAAGTCCATCGGGCGTTGCTTCACGGGATGGCGATATATGCAAGTCGGGCGTGCCCCTCTACAGGAGGAATATTCGAAAATCGTCTGGGGACGATGTTTCTAGCATTTTTCTGCTCTGGTAGAACATATGTTTCTGGTATGTTTTTTTTCGTTCCAAAAACCCCTTGTCGGAGGACATGCCCGACATAAGCGTTGCTTCATGGGATGGCGATACATGGGGGGGGGGGGGAAGAAGGGTGCACCTCTTGTGCCCCAAATTGGCCCTGAAGGGCCCCCGTGGGGCCCAAATGGGGGGGCACGGAAGGCGCAAATCTCCCCCCCCTCTCGGGCCGGACGGAAGGGGGGGATTGGGAAAGGGGGGGTTACGAAATTTGCTGCATGCAGCTGGTTTCGGCCTCACCGAGGGGCCCATTCCTCGATACACAGCCGCCTCCGGCGCCGGGAGGCGCTGGGAAAATCAGCTACTTAAGCTGATTCTCAAACCCCCCCTTTGCTATCCCCCCCTTTCGCCCGACCCGACCCCCCCCTTCAACGCCCTCCCATCATGCAGCGCCCAAGTGTGGTGTTCCTAGGCGGAGGCTTCCTCCTCGAGGCAGGCCGCTTCTCGGTGGAGCTCTTCGGTCAAGGCTGGGGCATCTCTTGCCAGTGCCAGACTCTTGTGGTAGTCCCCTGATGAGGCGTGGACACCTCGCGCCCAGCTTCCGAGGGCTGGCTGGGCCGTCGGAGGATGTAAAGCACGGGCGGATTGGGGGAGGGTTTCAGGCGATCTGGCGACTTGGGGCGTGCCTCGGAAGGGGCCTTTCAAGGCGCTTCTGCGCCATCTGAAACGATTCTGGGGCCCCCTGGAGGAGAAGGAGCAGGAGGAGAATCAGAGGATCGGACGACGACGACGACGACGACGACGACGACGACGACGACGACGACGACGACAACATTCCGACACTGGACCCTGCCTGACCCTTCCTGGGCAAGGGATCGGTGTCTAGCGTATGCCTGGCCAGGCCAGGACGGCACATACGCTGATCTTGGGCCGAAGGTTGGCCTGGCCGACATCCGTGTCGGCTTATGCCCAGATCCACGACGTCATGATTTGTCATAATGTGAGCGAGCCCTCAGAGTCGAAGAAGAAACAACGCTATAAACATTGACTTTTGGCGCTCCTTGCGGATTTCTTGGATCCGCGCTGCGGCCCCCCTGACGGCGCCTCTGGAATCGTCTTTGGCGCGCTCCGCGCGCCAGTGAGGGGGTTCCATCGCAGATCCAAGCGATACGCACGGAGTGCCAGCAGTTGATGTTTCTCTAGTTGGGTCTCCTTCTGTAAAGGTCTGCACCCTTCCCAGGGACCGGCTTCTCATCCTGACCCGTTGTTTGTTTGACAGTCCAGAGGTGAGGGCCCTCGGAAGCACACTTTGATCAGGACGGAAAAAATCACACAGACACCATGAATCGTCGATCCCCCCGAAATATGCAAAAATGCGGGCCGTGGGGGGGAAGACGAAAACCCAGCAACGATGTGAAACTATATCGCAGGAATCCTGTTATTTGTGGTCAGTTATATGTGTGTGTGTGTGTGTGTGTGTGTGTGTGTCCCAGGGCCCCTTCATCTGAGATCGCTTCGGATCACCCCGGGACCGATGCATCCCGTGGGCCCGCGGTGCCTCCTCGCCGCCAGGGCCTCCAGCACGGCCCGGGGAGGCGCTCGGGAGGGCTCCGGGACCGGGCCGGGGACCACGTGGCGCCATGTTTCGACGACGAAGATCCGGAGGAGAAGAAACACACTGACACAAATAGTCGTCGATTCCCCAGAGAATATGTGAAAAGAAACCCAGAACATGTGGGAAAACATTGTGAATAGTTGTATTTGTGTATGTGTGTGTTTTTTATGTGTGTGTGTCCCAGGGCCCCTTCAGCAAATGGCATCAGATTTTGGAGGTTCTCGCGGAGTTCATGGATCGGCGTTGGAGTACCCTCCCTGGCGCGCTCCGCGCGCCAGGGGTGGCGCTTGAGGCGACGCCACGGAAGCCCAGCGCTGATACAAGAAATCCGCGCGGAGCTCCGAAAGTTGAGGTTTATGCATGTACTCCTTATTCGAATCTTGGAAGTGTGGAGTCGCAACCCACTCCCGAGGTCTCTGGAAAAGCCGAGCAGGGATCCTCAAAAAATTCGTCCATAGGCGCCCGAGAATTCCGGCGGTCCACTGGGTGCCGGGAACCTTCCAGTGCAGAGATTCCGAAGGGACTCGAGGACCCCATAGTCAGTGCGTGACGGACGTAATCCGAAGAGCAGCAAACGGCATATGCGCATACAGTGGAGGCGCGCATCAAGAAACCATATGCTTTTCGTCAGGGTATCCTGGGTTTCTCTGCTCCACGCGCTGCGCGGCGACTTCAGGGTGCTCTGGGATTCCCCTCGGGTGCACCCCGCGCGCGGGTTTTCAGGGTTGGGTTTTTCTTGCGAGGCTTTCTTGCGGCCGCGCCCGCACTGTATTCAAAAGTTCGGAGTTCCGCTTTGCCTTCTCGGATCGGCGCTTTCGCGGCGCGCCCCCAGCGCCGCCCCTTTGTCGCGCTCCCAGCGCCGAGGGGAGAGGGGGCCCAGCGCCGAGCCACGAGAGCCTCGTGCGGCCTTCCGAGGGTAGATGTTTATGGCGTTGCGCCGGTCTTCTGACAATCTTCTCAAGTTCCAGAATGCTCTGGGGCTGCAAAGAGGGGGATGATGACTAGGGGGGGGTGGGTATCATGGTGGGGGCCATGATATCTCCCCAGATGTCACGACGCCTCTTCTCATTTCATTGCGTCCCTGGCCCCCCCCCTGGGCCGCGCACATGCCGCAGGCCATGATTTGCGCCCCCCCCTCTTGGACGCCCCCCTCTTGGCCGCCCCCGATTCTAACAATCTTCTCGATTTCCAGGATGTGTACAGCAGCCGCAGGGACTCCTCGTCCATCTCGTCGTTGCCGCCTTCATCGAGCTCGTCGTCGTGCCCGTCGTCGTCAGGTCAAGTCCACATCGACCCCTGGGCCCCTTCAGGAGCGCGTTCTGATCAAGATGTCCCCCACGAGGCTCAAGAGGAACTGTAAACATATCGAAGTATTGACGCCCTGTTCATACTCCTTTGCTCCTGATCCCGCTCCTCGTCCTCCTCCTCACTCCTCCTCCTCACTCCTCCTCCTCCTCCTCCGCCTCCTCCATCCTCCGCCTCGGCGTCAACCGAAGCAAACGTGGTTCCAGAAAGGACGCCGCCATGACCGCCGCCGCCGTGGCCTCCGCCGCGGCGGCGGCCTCGCCGCCGCGGCGGCGGGTTCGGGGGCACCGCGGGGGACTATGGAGTCAAGGGAGGAAACACCACCATGACCCGACAATCGGCGTTTACTAAACAGCCCTGCCCTGTTCGATTCCTTCTGTGGATGCGGTTTTGCTGAACGGCTTCGCGTGCCAGGGTGATCATTGAGGGGGTGGATTGTCTGCCTTTTGTGGTGGAGGCCCCCGGACGGCCCGACGGGGAGGGCAGAGCGGGCCGAGAGCGTTCATCGGCGGCGAGTGAGGGGGGGAAGTGCGAAGGAGCAGGCCTTCTCAGAAGGCGGCTGGACTTCTCCGCAGCCCCCCGCGCCTCCTGAGAGAGGTCCTCAGTGCCTCCTGGGAAGGCTTTGAGAGGACTTCCGAGCCTTCTGAGAAGCTCCGCTCCTTCTCACTTCCCCCCTCGCTCGCCGCCGATCATCCTCCTCCTCCTGCTGCTGCTCCTCCTTATCTTCCTCCTCCTCCTCCTCCTCCTCCTCCTCCTCCTCCTCCTCTTCCCCCTCGCTCGCCGCCGAGTCCCAGACGTGGCCCTCGGCGGCCCCCGGCGGCCCCCGGCGGCCCCCGGCGGCCCTCGGCGGCGGGCCTCGGCGGCGGGCCTCCGCCGTGGCGCGCGCGCCGCGAGGTGGAGCGCCTGGGCACGCTGCTGCGGGCCCGGGACGGCGAGGCCCCAAGGGGCCGCGGCGCCTCGGGCTGTCCGCGGGCGGCGTCGTCGTGGTCGGCGTCGTCGGCGGCGTCGGCGTCGTGGTCGGCCAGGCTGCCGTGGTCGTCGTCGGCGTCGTGGCCGGCGGCCGTCGAAGTCGCCGTCCTTTTGGTGCGTCCCCTCGGCGTCGCCCCTCGCCTCCCCCCTCGTCGAGCGGGTGGCGGCGGCGGGGAAGAGGTGGAGGAGGGGCTAGAGAGAGAAGGTGGAGGAGGAGGAGGAGGAGGAGGAGGAGGAGGAGGAGGAGGAGGAGGAGAAGGAGGTGTAAGGAGGTGTATGGAGGAGGAGGGTGACGAGCAGGAGGAGGAGAGGAGGAGGAGGAGGAGGAGGAGGAGGAGGAGGAGGAGGAGGAGGAGGAGGAGGAGGAGGAGAGCGAGGAGGAGGGAAGAGGAGGAGGGAAGAGGAGGAAGGGGTCAGCGCGACAAACGTCAAGGCCGCTGGCACAGGACCGCCGCTAACTACCTGACACGGCTCCCCTGTCGTCCTCCTGCGCTCCTTACTGGTCCCTCGGTTCGCCGTCTCTTTCGGCCTCCGTGTCGTCCACTCTTCTCGTCGTCGCACTGGTCGGCCCCACCAGTGACCGCCGCCGAGCTCTATTCCCGAGGCCCATATTTGTCCACCTCTTTGGCGTGCGCAGGGAGGGGGCGACGGCTGCATCTGCATGCAGACAAGGGCCGTCAGCTTCGAGCGAAGAGCTTCCAGGGAGAGAGGGGTAGTCACCGATCGCGTTTCGCGACTCGCAAAGTTCCTACTCGCAAGCATCAGATCAGAACAAAAATAACGGGTCCTCCTGCGCACCTGTAATGAAGAGTGAATCCCCCGCCTCAGATTTGGGCCATCTGCGAGCAGTTCCTTTGCGAGTCGTGGAGCGCGCTTCTCCTGGGAGGGAGAGGAGGGGGGGGGGGAGGGAGGGGAGGAGGGGGAGGAGGGAGGAGGGAGAGGAGGGGGAGAGGAGGGAGAGGAGGAGGAGAGGAGGGAGGGAGGGAGGGGAGGAGGGAGAGGAGGAGGGAGAGGAGGGAGGAGGGGGGAGAGGGAGCGGGAGGAGAGGAGGGAGAGGAGGGATAGAGAGGAGGGAGAGGAGGGGGAGGGGGGGGGGGGGGGGGACAATACAAGGGCGGGAGAGGAGGGAGAGGAGGGAGAGGAGGGGGAGGAGGGGGGCAGCGTCGGCACGCCACCCGCGCCATCGATCGGGGGATCCCTACTGCAGGGGGCACGCGGGGGGCAGACGGAGGGCGGGGCCCAGACCTCCGACGCCGGCGGCGCTCCAGCGACGAGGGCCCCCCAGGAGGTGTCGACCACCTGTTCGAGCAGATGCCTGACGGCCCCGCGGCCCCGGGATGTGCAGTCGACTCGCAGAATAAGGATTCAGGAGGGAAAAAAACACACAGACACAATTAATCGTCGATTCCCCAGAAAATATGGGCAGTGGGGGGGAAGACAGAAACCCAGAAAATATAGGAAAATATGGAGAATCACTTTATTTTGTGTGTATTTATTTGTGTGTCCCAGGGCCCCTTCAGTGTCGACCACCTCCTCGAGCCGATGCCTGACGGCCCCGCGGCCCCGGGATGTGCAGTCGACTCGCAGAGTGAGGATGCACATCCTTCCCAAGGGTGTACTCTTGGATCCTGGCCCCTTCCGCCCATCCTTGGCCAGTTTCGCTGGCCGCGCCCCGCTCGAAGGGCTTCGGAATGGCCCTCCAAGGCCCTTGCATCCTTATCGTGCGTCCTTGTCGTACGGGTTGACTCCTAGTGCCCCCGTAGAGGTCGGTCACGTAGAAACACTGGGAAGCTTTGCGACGGGGGTCAATGCAAACGGGGGTCCGCCAGAAAGCGCTCCATCTTGCAGGATCTGGCGGCAGAGGCCGGGCTGCACTGACCGGGGCTCGGGTGCAGGATCCTGCAGGAACATTTTTTGATCCGCGGGTCGAGAGCGTCCCTCTTCCGGTCGAAGCTGAGCGGGCCGCGCGAAGCTTGAATTAGGCAGAAAAGAGGAGGGAGGAAGCGGCGGAGCCTCAGAGCGAGGCCGAGATCTTGCAGGAGCACGCCGAGAAGTCTTTCCTACGATCCAGGCGTTGCAGGTCTTTAACCGCCATGGCGCCTCCGCCCTGTCTCGAGCCCCGGGCCGTCACGGGTCGATCTCTGGCTCGGGAAGATGGCGGCGGCCCTCGCCCGGGCCCCGGGAGACAGCCTCAAGACGACCCGTGCCGGAGGAGAACCACGGCGTCGGGGTTCTGTGGAGGGAAAAGGGGAGGGCGAGGTGTCGAGGAGGGAGGAGGAGGAGGAGGAGGAGCAGGAGGAGGAGGAGCATGCGGAGGGGAAGGAGGCGCAAGGGCAGAAAGGGGCGGTGACGCTCCGTGCTTCGCTGATCCGAGCCTGGCCGCTTTGCCTAGGGGGGTGGAGGAGGAGGACGCCGAGGGGAAGGGCGACGGACCGGCGCCGACGACGACGTCAACGACGACACCGACGAGGACGACACCGACGACGATGACGTCGGCGACGGCGACGACGACGACGTCGACGTCGGCGACGACGACGACGACGACGACGACGGCGACGGCGACGACGACGACGACGTCGACGTCGACGACGACGTCGACGTCGACGACGGCGGCGGCGCGACGGCGGGCCGCCGGGGAGCCCCGCGCAGGTCGCGGACCTGGGCGACCAGCTGCGGCAGCGCGACGAGGCCCTGCGCGTGCTCGAGGCCTCGGCGCGCCCCGCCGGGGGCGCCCGCGGGTCGCGGCCCGCGCGCCGTCGGCCTCGACCGCGTCGTCGTCGTCGTCGCCGTCGTCGTCGACGTCGTCGTCGTCGTCGTCGCCATCGTCGTCGTCGTCGTCGTCGACGCCGACGCCGACGCCGACGCCGACGCCGACGCCGTCGTCGTCGTCGTCGCCTCGTCGTCGGCGTCGGCGGCGTCTTCGTTGTCGTCGTTGTCGGCGTCGTCGTCGGCATCGTCGCTACGGCGTCGGTCCAGCGGCCTCGTCGCTGGCGGCGTCGGCGTCGTCGGCGGAGGAGCGCTGGGCGTCGTCGGCGACGGCGCAGATCTCTCCGAGGACGTTGTACTTTTTCCACCTTGGCGTTGTTCTCCGGCTCCGGCGAAAGGTTGCCCCAGGGAAGGATTCAAGAGTCCTGGGGCCGCAAATTGAGACAGCTAGCTCGGTGGATGTCGAGGGGTGCCATCGTCGTCGGCGTCGTTGTCGTCGCCGTCCTCGTCGCCGTCGCTGGTGCCGTCGCCGTCGGCGTCTCCGTCGTCGCTGCCGGCGTCGTCACCGCCGACGCTGGAGCAGTGATCACCGTGTCGGGAAGGGGGGGGGGAATTCGGCAGCTCGGGTCGGGATGGCCGCTCCGGAACGCTCTCGGAGCGTTGCAGGGTGCTCCGCGGCGGCCTCGGCGCCCGAGTTGTCCTCCAGACCCGCCCCGTCGGGCAGATTCCCGTTTCATCTCGATCCGATGCTGTCCTTGGCCTGCTTCCGCCTTAGGTAGAGGGCTCCTACGGTTTCCCACCGTTTTCGGCGTCTGGACCGTAGATAGATAGTGCCGTGTTCGGCGATGCATTGGCGATTCGGCTTGAGCTGGCTCCCGATTTCTCCACGCCGACTTCGCCGAGGCATCACCGACGTCGCAGATGCATCGCCGGTGCATCTGTCGGCGGCGCGCCCTGGGGGGAGATGAGAAGGAGCAGGCCTTCTCAAAAGGCGGCGGGGCTTGTCAGAAACCCTCGCGCCTTCTGAGAAGTTCTCTGTGCCCTCGGGGAAGGTTTAGAAATCTTCCCAGGAGGCTGGAGGAGTTCCGAGCCTTCTGAGAAGGCCCGCCCTCTCTCACTTCCCCTCCTTTCTTTCCCGAATCTGCGATGTGGCGTGACGACTCGATGGTGGCGAGGCCGAGGATGTCGAGAGGCAACAGGAGGGACAGAATGGGTGGACTTGGAGAATGCAGATGTGGGCTGTGGGGGTGGCAATGGGTTGGTTGTCGCTGATGGCGGTTGTGATTGCCGTTGCGATTGCGATTGCGATTGCGATGAAAATGTTGGTGGTGGACTATGATGGTGATGATGATGTTGCTGGTGATGATGAAGGTGATGGTGATGATGATGATGATGATGATGATGATGATGATGATGACGATGACGATGACGATGACGATGATGATGATGATGGTGATGATGATGATGATGATGATGATGATGATGGTGATGGTGATGGTGATGGTGATGGTGATGGTGATGGTGAGGGTGAGGTTGATGGTGATGGCGATGGTGATGGTGACGGTGATGACGATGATGATGGTGATGATGATGCTGATGATGATGATGGTGGTGGTGATGATGATGATGATGATGATGATGATGATGATGATGATGATGATGATGATGATGATGATGATGTCTTGGAGGCCTCGTGAACCCTCTTGGACGCTTCCTGGGCCCCATTTGGCCCGTCTTTGGACCCCTTTGTCTTCAAGACAAGTCATGCGGGGCAGCCCAAGAGCGCGCGGCAACGCCCAGGGAATTAGAGGTGTTGGGGCCCCGGCCCTTGGGGTACCAGAATCCGATCGTCTGGAGCACCGCGACCAGAAGGACAGACGAGGGCCTGGAGACGGCTCCACTTCGCGCCTCGCGGCACGGTGGCGGATACCGGCATCGCGAAGCGGACAGGCGGGTCAGATCACTCACTCCGCCGAGTGGGCGGAGAGCCCCCGGCGCCCGGATCGTCGACACCTTCAAAAGTCGAGGGAGGAACAGCCACCCGGACCGGACAATTGGCGTTTACTAGACGGCCTTGGGCGTTTCTTAAACAGCCTTGCCCTGTTCGATTCATTCTTTGGCGGGCGAAGAGAAACTATGCACATGCACCGATCCTGGCAGGGCCCATCCTTGACCCAGGATCGGTGCATGTGCCTTCCTGGCCAAGGTAGGAGGGCGTATGCACCGATCCTGGGATCAGGATGGGCCTGGCCAGACTCGGTGTATGTGCATAAGTTGTTTTCCTCTATTTGGGTGCGTTTACCAAACGGCCTCGCGTGTCTGGGTGGTTTTTATCGGGGTGGATCTTCTGCCCTCGATAAAAGGTACGTCGGGAATTGCGAGACCGCTGATAAGCAGGCCGGATGTGGCCTTAGGTCGGGCCTGTCCCTCTGCAGGAGGAATATTCGAAAATTTTCCAGAAATAGTCAGGGGACGATTTTTTTTATGTTTGTGCCCATTTGGGGGGCCTCTTTGTTTTAGTATGTTTTTTTCGCCTAAATGCCCCTGTAGGGGACACGCCCGACTTAGGTGCAGTCCTTTTTGGCATCCACTGATGACACCCCCCCCAATCCGCTTAGCCACCCCCGCGTCGATCCCGGCTCAGTCGAGGCGGATTCGTAGACCAGCCTTGCCAAACGAAGGGTACCCTTGTGTCCTGCGTTTCGCGACCCATGCCCTCTGCATTCGTGTGGAAATGGGGCCTCGTTGTGTCCTCTTGCGTGTCCTCTCTAATCAGGCCCGACTGTAGGTCTAGGCCTCCTAGATGGGGTCGGAGTAGGTGGGGTCGGAGGATCGCGCCGCTTCGCCGATGCATCGGCGATGCATCAGCGATACGGCTCGATGTGGGGCCCAATGTTCTCCATGCCGACGTCGCCGATGCATCGCCGACGTCGCCAGTGCATGGCTGATGCATCGCCGATGCATCGGCGATGCGGCGAGATCCTCCGACCCCATCTACTCGGACCCCATCTTCGGAAAGTGGAGCATATACAGTACCAGTGGCGGGCCGTTGTTCAATCCCAGGATTGTTTAAGGGTCGGGGACGACATCGGGGTGGTATGGTGTATACTATTTCCCCGCCTTTCCCGGGGAAAAACGTATACGCCAGGATCCCGCATACACCAGGATCCCCCTTTTGTGCGAGTTTCCGTGCGGCGCCGGAGAAAAGCGTCGGTGTACAGAGTTCGGCTCCTTGCATCCAGGAGGCTTCTGAGCAGGCGAACGATGGATGGCTCAGGCCGGGTTTTCGATTGTCCAACGAGAGAGCGGCAGAAGACTTGGTCAAGGCAATTTGACGGTTGGCTATATCACGGAATTGCCACCTGAGCTAGACGTGCGGGCCCAGATTTTCACGGCATTAAGATTAATTCGGGCCTGTCCCCCTAGAGGGGGATTTTCGACAAAAAAATTAAATACCCCAGAAAAGTCAAACTATAATCTAAACATAGTCCGGGGACTTTTTTTTTAAGTATTGTTGGACCTTTTTGTTTGGTTTTTTGAGGGTATTTCTTATTTTTGTCGAAAATCTCCCTGTAGGGGGACACGCCCGACATAACATTCAGACGATCACGCAGCGCCGAGACTTCGTGGCGGCGGCCGCGGCGGCGCGGGCGCCGCGGAGGCGGGGGACGCGGCGCTCGCGGGCGCGGCGAAGATGGCCAAGGACGCGGAGGCCAGCGCGCAGCGGGCGCGGCAGGCTCAGGCCCCGGGCGCTCCCCGCCTATGGGGCGGGGCGCGGCGGGGAGGCGAGGTGGGCTCGACTGGGAATCGACTACACGTACAGTCGGGGCGTTGACCTAAGGAACCCTAAATAAGGAACGAGGCCCTTTTTTTCCATAAGTTAAACTTCGATTTACCATTGAAAACCTAAGGAAAACCCAAGTCAAACTGTAAAACAATCAAGGACCACCGAGCCCCTCCCCAACGAGCAGGGTTCCTTCTTCAGGGCCCCGACTGTAAGGGTGACCTTTCGCCGGAGTGGCCTTTGGTGCGGGCTCCTCGGGCTCCCCCCGATCGCCGAGCGCGACGCGGTATGAACGGCCCGCGCCTTTGGCTTTGGCTCCCTCGCGCCCCCGAAAGCTGCGCACCAAAGGTCACTCTTGCCCAGGGTCACTCTTACGCCTTGCCGATGGAAGGAGGGGAAGTGGGAGAAGGATTTGCCCAGAGCCCCTCGAGCCAAGAAAGCATCCCGACGGGAGGTTTTTCAGTATGTTTAGCCCCTGGGGGCTCTCGCGGGGCCTCGGGACAGTCCAAGAACGACCCGGGGGGAGAAACCGGTCCCGGGGAACGGGTCGGGACTTCTGGGGGCCGACGTCATGACAAAAATCATGACGTCGGGGGTCTGGGTGGGTGGGCTCCAAGGGGGGGGGGAGGGGGGGCAAAGACAAGAGAAGGAAGAGGGGGTCAGTGAAGAGGTGGTGGAGTAATGGGAGGGAGACTGGGGTGGGGACGAGGGCGGAGGAGAAGAACGGGTCCCAGGACGAGAAACGGTCCACCCTCCTCGTCTTCTCCTCTCCTCCCGCCCTTCCTCGTCATCGCCCTCTCCCTTGCAGTACCCTCTTCGCAATCCGTGCTGTCCCCGATCCTCTTCGCACTCCCTCTCTCCCTCTTGCTCCTCCGACCCGGCCCGGCGACGCCGACGACCGACCACAGCCACCACCGCCTCGACGACCGCGGCGACCGCCCCGACCCCCGCCGGCGTGATCTTACTCGGTCCACGGCCCCGGGAGGGCCCGAGCCCTCATCTTGGGGCCGGTGGTTCGCCCCAGACAGGTCAGCCGCAACTGGGGGGGGGGGCTGTGGTCCTTACCCCCCCTGGGGGGCCCACCGATCTCGACCCCCCTCTCGAGGGATCGCCGATGCCATGGGTTCCCCCAGGGGGGTGAGGACCACAGCTCCCCGAGTTGTGGCTGGTGGGCCAGGGCCATTTCTGCGGGCCCCCGGGGCCCGAGAACGCGGCCGGGAGGTCGAAGTCGGGGGACAAAAAGACGGAGCGGAAAGTCGAAGTCGATTGTCAAAGTCCAAGTCGATTGTCAAAGTCGAAGTCGAAGTCGAGTGTCAAATGTCCAAGGAGCGGCGAAAGGAACAACGGGGTCGTCTGCGCCGACGTTGGCGCGAAGGCTGCCCGCGCAGGGTCGCGCGTGCGCGCCCTGGTCTCCACGCAAAAGTGTAAGCCACCCGGTAAGGTCGCTGCGTCATACCGCGTAAGACCCGTTTTTGATCGTCGCTCGTATCGTCCAGGCAGGCTAGGACGAGGATCAATCCGTTACAGAGCGTTCCGAAGCGCTCTCAAAGCGTTCCGGAGCGCTTCGAGGAGGCCGCGGCGCTCGAGGCCTCTTCCAGAGCCGGCGGATCTCAGAGATTCCCGATGCATTCGCACCCGATTGTATCCGTGTTTTGGCTTCGTCTTCTCGTCGGAGCTCTGGGGCGATCTCGGCGACCACGACGACCGCGGCGACCACGGCGACCGCCACGGATGGCGACGCGCCGCAGCCGACCGACCCAACGCACGGACCAGCGCGGCGCCGCAGGAGAGGCTGCAGGAGATGGAGAGCCAGGCGCGCGGGCGCGCGGGCCCGTGGCGCCGCTGGGGAGTCGGTAAGATCGGAACGGTTGCGGAAAGAGCGTGTACTCGCCAAGGGGTGGGAGCGGGTGCTGAGTGATAATTACGGGTCGTCAGGTTTGTCGCCATTAGTGGGGCCCTCCAGGGGCCTCCAGGGGCCCCGGGACTGTCAGAAAACGGCTCAGGATGAAGATCTCGTCGGGGAGGGAGGCCTTGGGGTCTAGGACCCGTTTCCCCCATGCCAAGGGAACGCAGCACCCCGCAGTTGCGGATGAGAGTGAGGAGACGGGCGCGTGGTGGGTCGCGGATGGGTCGCGGGGTTCTAAGCTTCCCAGATGGGGTCCGAATCGATGGGGTCGGAGGAGCGCGCCGCATCGCGGATGCATCGGCGATGCGTCGCGATTCTCCGACCCCATCTACTCGGACCCCAGGGGGGGGGGCGGAGGGCGCGTAATTCGAACGCCGCCCCTGGCGCGCTCCGCGCGCCTGAGAGGGGGGGGGGGGGGGCGGGG